AAAAAAAGGTTTAATCTTTCTATAATTGTTTAGATCAGCTTAGATCTACTTATCAGATTAATATCTTTTTTTTGAGTCAAAAATAATTTTAGTCTAAATGATTGAGTTTTTTATTGCACTTTTTACCCAATAACTATGGCTAGAAAACTACTAATAGCAATAGCTATAGCAGATTTACCTAAGAGAGAGATCTATTCTAATGATTATGAAAACATAGAAGCTAAATTTAGATCTACGAATATATTTAATAAATGATTAATTATTTTAATTAGTGTATATAAATTCTAAAAAGCTGATAAAAATGTGAATATTTCCATTAAAAAAATATTTAAAAACAATTATTTGTTAAAATAGTGGGTTTCTTTAGCATAGTAATATTTGATTCTTATTTTTTTTATTATGGCGTTAAATTTATAGATTGAGTTAATATATTCAGATATTTAAGTTCTATTAGATAACAAATAGATTGATTGCTAAAAGTCTCGAAAAAAACCAGTGATAAAACCTTGATGGTGACAAAATTAATAAACAAAAATTACATTTTGAAATTGAATAGCTATAATATTCAATTAAATCAATTAATAAACAGTGATACATATCTAGCAGATATATAAATTAATTTTATATAAGATTAAATAATCAATACAAATTGTAAATTCTAAAGGGTTGTTTCTAAGTAAATCTAAGAAAATTTAATAAATATCATTATTTGAGTGATCAAGTACCATATTTTGATAAAAGATAGAGAGTTTAAGTAGCAAGAGTCAAAGTTTCAGTTTTCTTATATTATATTTTCTTTGTCATTTATCGACAAATTTCATAAGGGTCAGGGGATTTTTAGTGTTTTACATAACCATTTAATTTTCTTCTTGCAACTAGGCTAGAGCCTAAATATAATTTCTTTAACGGACTGTTTGAACGGGATGTTTTAGGTGTAGTTTTTTAACTAGTGATTTGAGAATGGATTGTAATATTATTATCATGGTAATCTAATTTATGTTATACTCTAAAGTTTGGACTAGGTATATTTAAATCAATAATAATATTATTGACAGTGCCTCCTTCATGTTGAGTTGAAATTCTTAATCTTTTGAATTTGTTAGGAGAATTTTCATATTCTTTCTAAAAGTAGTTTGGCTTTGATTTCATTCCATTAAGAGGTTGTTATAAAATTTCAATAAACGGAGATGGAGGTTCCTTAAAAAAAGAAAATTTTAGTGCTTAATCAAGCATATAAAAAATTTTAATAAGCTCAAATTTAAAGAGAACTTCTAATAGTTTAAAGAAACCATATAAAAAAGATTAAATTGTTAATAATAGAATGAGATTTACAATATTTTTGATGAGAATCAAAGTCTTAGAGAATAGAGGTTAAAAATAAAAAACATTGTTTTTAAAGTTTTAATGAGTAAATTAGATATAAAAAATGTTGATTAATAACAGTTGATAATGTGAATACAATTGTGATAGATATATTTGAAAGTTAAACTTATTTTATAAAAATTGGATGAATTGTGAAAATAAGATAATAAAAATAATAATTATACAAATGTATAGTTAAATGAGTGTTTATGAAAGAAGGTAAAGGTAATAAATAATATTTAAAATAAATAATGAAGGGGTTTGTAATTAAAAAGTAGATTTGTTTCATTTAGATTATTTGTGATGATTTCATGATTTACTTATTATGGTTTGTATTGAACAAATGTTTATTGTATAGATTTGAGAATTGTTATTGAGTTTAATTTGAAACACATCATATGTGAAGTAGCTGTTAATATAAAGTAATTAGATTAATAAATATTTGGAGGCATTTATATATATAAATTTAGAAATTGAATTTGAATTTCATAGTTAAGAAATGTCATAGCAAATGCAATAAATGTTCAAATAACAATAAGCTTAATAATTTTTAGCACAATAATTTTCTAGTAAAACTGATAAGATCAAACTTTCAAACTTGATGCCTATACAGATCAATGAGAATTTATTTAACAAAAACACAAATGAGATTATAGAAAAGAAACCTTCATCTCCAAGATCAAGTAATTAAGCATCGAAACCATCATAAAAACCATCATAATAAATAGCAATACATAAATCTAACATGTCTTTGCAAAATAAAAGTCATATAGTAAATGAATAATTCTAAGAGAAATTGAATTAATTTAGTAAAAGAAGAGATTATTCACCAAATTCATAATTAAGCAATAATAAAAAGAATGAAGAATTCTTCTAAAGAAGACCATCTTCATTAGTAAATGATGAATATTCTGCTACTCCATAGATTAATAGATTTATAGCTAAATCTCCAACACCATCAGAAATATAAGAAAGTGTGGCATCACTTCTTTAAAATCATTAAAGTAATAAATGATTTTGTATATTTATAGCAATTTCTTCTCCAAAAAGTTAAAATTCATAAAAACCAAAAAGTAATGCACTGTAACTTGGTCCTTATCTATCCATTTAATAGTAATAATAGAAATCAACACATAAGGGAAAAGGTCATAATTCGGCAAATTCTGTTTCATATAATTTGAAACCAAATATATTAAAGAAATGTGAATATGGCATGAATCATACTCCAACAAAGGTTACTACAACAACATTAAATACAGAACATAGTAAAAGTAAATCAGTATTGGATGAATAATGCATTAGAATGATATATTATGAGAGAGAAAAAGAGAACGATATGAATTTATTGAATATTGGTACACCAAGTACTTATTTACATTCTAAGATTTCTATTGAATAATAAAGTGTAAGACCATTCATTTAATAATAGGTTGGTGAAAGTTTAAATAGTAAATTTCATTAAGCTAAAATATTGACTCAATAATCACCATATTAAAATACTAGTGGATCTAATGATCATTTATAAGAATCATTTCCAGTTCGAACTTGTATAAATCACAGAACTAAAAAAGCTAAATATTTTGTTGATGAACATTAAAAATAGATTTTTTATTGTTCTTAATGTGCTATTAATGTTGCTGGTTAAGGAAAAATTGTATAAGATTTAACTTAATTAATTATTAAATCATAAGAATCTTAAATATTATCTTTTTAATCCAGTTCAGTAGATTCTCATAGACATTCCAATTTCTCAGATGTTAATTTTAAAGAAAGAGAATTAAGTGGATTCTTAACTAAATTAGAATATTCACATTCACAAAGAGCTGATATATTAAATTAAATGTAAAATCAAATTGAAAAAATTAATACTTGGTATGAATCTTAAATTGGATAATGTTAAAAATAAAAATAAATTATGTTGTAATTGATGAATGATTCATGTAATAATACTATTCAAATACTTTCAAATTAAAGATAAGAATCTTTAAAATAATTATCTAATTTATACTTTGTCTTATAATAACATCAATTAGATGCATAAAATATCAAATAAGATATTGAAAAAAATTGGACAGAAGTATTAGAAGATATTAGAATGGATCCATTCAGAAAAATTATGGATTACTATTAATCTGAATTTATCAAAATGAATGATTTTTAAACTTAGTTACTTTCATCAACAATTTCTGTGAAATCTTTATCCAAATAAGATATTCAACCAACTCTAACTTTAATTGTTTAGAAGTACTCATTTTTCTTAATCTTAGTTTTTAATTAAATGATTCAGAATAGCAATTAATTTTATAAAATAATTCCATTTTTAATCAAACTATTAGAACATAACCAACTCCACCAAAAAAAAGAATTGAAAATGTTGAATCTTAAATTCATTAATCAAATTAATAATAAAGAGTTAAAACTGATTTCAGTGGATCTAAAACTTAACCATAAAATAATGAAACTCCATCTAATTTTTATTAATATTTTAATGATACAAATGTATATTAATTAAGTGCATCCAAAATATAATCACAATAATCATAATAAAATCCTAATAATAATAAAAATAATCTTTATATATCATTTGAAAATAAAGATATATTTATGAATATTTTAGAATCTGAAAAAAATTCAAAATAAAGTTTACATGAAGAAAAATAATCAGTTACTTCAAATCCAATTATGATTTTAGAAAGTTATAGAGAATCTAAAAAAAATATAGCTGAAGAAGATGGATAATTAAGTGATCATGAATCACATAAATCTACTCCTCATAGTCCTGCTAGTGGATAAACTAAATAGTCAGTTTAAAGAACAGCTACTAAAATAGAAGAACATTCTTAAATCCCAAAGGATGCTTTTCAAAAATAAAAAAGTACATTCAGAACTCTTTTTGAAAATACTGAGGATTAATAAAATAGTGAAGTTCTTTAAAATGATTCAAGTGTTAGTCCAGCTAAAAGTGAAAAATTTAGATCTATTTTAAACAAAATCTCTAATAATCAATCCAAAACTTAATAGTATCTATTTATTTTATATTTAGATTTTATTAATAGATGATATAATCAAGTTAAAAATTTGTTTTAGAAACTCCAGATATTAAAAAATATGAATTACAAGGAGTTTAATGTTTATAATATCTTCAAGATACTGAAACATGTAAAAAAGCTATTTTATCTAATAAATAATCTTAATTAATAGATTCTGTTCAATAAATGAATTTGTGTGACGATTAATAAGATCCAAGTGAATTTGAAAATGATGAAGATAAAGAAGTCTAATAAATGTTTAGTTCTAAAGAAATGAAAAATTTTAGTGATCAAAAATAAATGACATATCCAAGTGAATCAAGTCAAAATAATAGTCATCTAGAAATACGAAAAGATTAATATCAAAAAACACTGTTTTGTTCCCCCCAATTTAAAGATTAAGATATATTGAATGTATCAGAAAGCAGTAGTGATTCTAATTGATTTTTTTAATTAAAATATAAATCAATTAAATTTAGATCCTAAAATTTTACAAGTGTAATTTAAAATCATAATTTAAAGTTATTACAATCTTAAAATCTCAGAAATTAATCTGAAATTAAAAAGAGGATTTATCTAACCTTTCCTAATTTTTTGTTTCAAAAATTTATTAAAGTTTTATATTAAAAGTGAGCAGAGTTTTTTCTTAGATTACTTTCCAATAATAGATATNTTCAAATCCAATTATGATTTTAGAAAGTTATAGAGAATCTAAAAAAAATATAGCTGAAGAAGATGGATAATTAAGTGATCATGAATCACATAAATCTACTCCTCATAGTCCTGCTAGTGGATAAACTAAATAGTCAGTTTAAAGAACAGCTACTAAAATAGAAGAACATTCTTAAATCCCAAAGGATGCTTTTCAAAAATAAAAAAGTACATTCAGAACTCTTTTTGAAAATACTGAGGATTAATAAAATAGTGAAGTTCTTTAAAATGATTCAAGTGTTAGTCCAGCTAAAAGTGAAAAATTTAGATCTATTTTAAACAAAATCTCTAATAATCAATCCAAAACTTAATAGTATCTATTTATTTTATATTTAGATTTTATTAATAGATGATATAATCAAGTTAAAAATTTGTTTTAGAAACTCCAGATATTAAAAAATATGAATTACAAGGAGTTTAATGTTTATAATATCTTCAAGATACTGAAACATGTAAAAAAGCTATTTTATCTAATAAATAATCTTAATTAATAGATTCTGTTCAATAAATGAATTTGTGTGACGATTAATAAGATCCAAGTGAATTTGAAAATGATGAAGATAAAGAAGTCTAATAAATGTTTAGTTCTAAAGAAATGAAAAATTTTAGTGATCAAAAATAAATGACATATCCAAGTGAATCAAGTCAAAATAATAGTCATCTAGAAATACGAAAAGATTAATATCAAAAAACACTGTTTTGTTCCCCCCAATTTAAAGATTAAGATATATTGAATGTATCAGAAAGCAGTAGTGATTCTAATTGATTTTTTTAATTAAAATATAAATCAATTAAATTTAGATCCTAAAATTTTACAAGTGTAATTTAAAATCATAATTTAAAGTTATTACAATCTTAAAATCTCAGAAATTAATCTGAAATTAAAAAGAGGATTTATCTAACCTTTCCTAATTTTTTGTTTCAAAAATTTATTAAAGTTTTATATTAAAAGTGAGCAGAGTTTTTTCTTAGATTACTTTCCAATAATAGATAATACACATATTGAATTAATATATATCATAAATAATTATAAAAAATCTACCAGTTTATATATTATTTTATAAAAACTGCCATTTCAGAAAGGGCTTTATCTATAAATAATGGCTCTTTTAATTAATTCGATTTTTAGTATATTTATAAAATTTATCAATATTTTTATTTATAGAAATTATTTTATATTAAATAAATTTGTAGATTTAATAAATTCTAATAAGATTTCTTATCTCTCCTATAGATTTTGAGTGAAACTACTACACCTAACTTTGAAAAATTTTCCCATTGAAGGTTATGGAAATCTTTCCATTTTTTTAATAATTTAATTGTGCTGAAACTAGGAAGTCTAAATTATTTTTATCAATTAGCTATTATTGCTATACTATTTGAATAAGAATTTCTTCAGATAATGATAATTAAGATTTGTAGTATTGAATTAGCAAAACCATTATTTAAAAGTACGTTTCTTTAAATATATTTTATTTATTAATTATCTAAATCAATTTAAAAAATATTTATACCAAATAATAATTACTACTAATTCAATTTGAGATATTTAGAAAGCTCTTAATTATTAAGGCTATGAATATACTCATGATTTAATCAGATAAGATGAAAAGCATTTTGAGATTAAAAATCATGATAAGAATAAACTAAAAAGGAATTTAAATAAATTTCTTTAAATTTTTATTAAGAAGAAGCGTTCTAAGTTTTTTATGTTGTACCTAATAAAAAAGTAATATGTTGAATAATTTATTTTAAATTTAAAATTATTTTAAATTTATTAAAAATCCTGCTTTTCATAAAGACATAACTATTTGAGTGAAAATTAATGTTTTCAACTCTTTATCAGATTGAAAATATTGTAAAAATAAATCATAATTGTAAAAATAATAATTCTTTTTTTGAGGAATTTGCAATTTTAATAAAGAAAATAAGGCTAGGCTAAAATTTATTTTCATACTAAAAAAAACTATGTTTTCATATATTTTCTTTCTAAAAGTATAATTTGATTATTAAATAAGTTAAATTTTCTGCTTCGTTCGACAATTACTTAATTAAATTTTTCCTTAAATTAAATAGATTAAATTCTCTCAAATGATTGAATTTATTATAAATAAATTGAAAATATTTAGTTCAACATATTTAAATTTTAATAGTAATAAAAAATAAGTTTAGAAGTTTAAATTTGAACTTATTAAATATCACTAAATTTACATCATTATCATTTTATAATTTGAATAGAGTATTTTGGCATTTCCAAAATAATTTATTTTGAATGAATTATTAGAGAGTATTCTTGTATTCAATAAAATTCAATAATTCAGCAAAAAAACCTTTATTAATCAAATTATATTAAATTTAAGAAATTCGTTTTTATTTTAATTATATGAGAAAAGTATCATAATAATACTTATTTTCATTTGCCTTTCTTAAAAATACAGATGTAACAAGATAGTTATAAATAATAGTTATATAATTTGAAGAAGACAGAGGATCATAAATTGATAATCAAATATTTTGATTATCATCATAATGGATTTTTTAATATTTCTCTAATTAAATAACAATATAGCTAAGTTATCAACTATTAAGAATGATTTATAATAAACAGATATAAGATAGGTTAAAAAGAATAATCGTAAGATAAAGAAGTTTAGAATGTAAAAATTAGATAATAAAAACTTAAGATGATCTTAAAAATAGTATATTATTTTTAGAATATAACGAATTATATTTTGATGAATAAGTAAATAATAAATTCATTCAATACATAGAAAACAATTCATTGACAATAAATTTTTTAATTTATTCTTTTAGACAATAATCTCTGAACTCAATCTAGCAATTTTTTTATTTATCATTGATTATTTTTTAAGTAATTATTTCTCGGGATAATTATAATATATTTTTTTAAATTTATGATTTCTTGTAATAAGATCACCTATTGTATATTGAAGTAGAGGAGTCTTTTCCTTGAATTTTTCTCTTCTTATTGATTATGACATTTTATCATTTGTTTAATCAATCCATTTTATTAATTAGTCTTCTTCCTCTTCTACAAGAGTAAGATCAAATGAATCTATATTTTATTATAATTATTCTTAGACGAAAGTTAATTTATGAACAATTTATAATTTATCATACTACATTTTTTCTTATAATGAGTAATAATTATATGCATAACTGATATCAATAGGTAGTATCGTGACTGATTTTCTGCTAACAATATATCGATGATCATTTTAGAATGATACACAAATATCACAAAGGAGTTTCGAATCAAATTATTTAGGATTTTAGAGTTATTAAAATAAAAATAAGATTGTTTCAATATTTGTATCTAAAATTGCAAATTTATTTTGAAATTGCTCAACTGAAATATTAGGAAATGTGTTTGTCATATCTACTGAGTCAAAATGAAGAATTCTAGTAATTTTAAATTTACTAAAATCTCTTATAATTTGATTAATTTTTATTCCTCCAAGTTATTACTATGGTTATGTTTGATTTTTACTCAAATACATGGCATCAATAAAAAATCCATTATAAAATAAATATTTTTACCATACTTGAGCAAAAGCTTAGCTATTAAATAAGAATACAATCAAGTAAGTCTTAGATAAACTTATATTAAAATAATTAATTTACATTTTTAAAGTATTTTTTAAATCATTTCTTAATGTACATGGACAATATGGGCTTTCACATTACTCAAAAATGCTGCCTCTTAGAAAGGAAGGACAAATTTTCATCTCATTTCTGAAATCCCAAAAGTTTTTCCTTGATTAAATCAAAAAGTCTTAAAAAAATGGTTACAAACATACTTTCAAAATTCATAATTGCGATTTTATCAATAGATAAATCACGATCATTTGTACTAAGATAAAGGCATTTTAAAATTAATCCTTTTTACAATTCTTCAAATTGTTTGTTCAGATATCTCAATTAAATAATATGTTCCTAACTCTTTTATTATTTAATTATTGGTTTAACCTTCTATTAACGACTCAATAGTTTTAAACTAACAACTTATTGCGTAGTTGATAGTTATGGTAATATTTATTAGTGTTTTAAAGCAGGTTTTAAATTTGCTGCGAATTGATGTCCTTGCAAAGGTTTTTTGAGAATCTTTTGTTCTTATGAATCTTCAATGTATGACAAATTATCGTGAACAGCAGGCCTTTTATTTGAAATTTATTATAAGGAGTTAGAAATGAAGAAAGATTCATTGAGTTCCGTACGATTGTTTTCATATTTTAATTTATTCTTGGTATCGAGGATACTAATATTTGTATTCTTAAGCATAAAATATCCACGATAAATGTTTTATTTAAATTAGGACCGATTGGAAAAGTAAAGAGAGTTTGAGAGATCATTATTTTACATATTAATTTGATAATAAAATGCTAATTTTCAATTTTGTTTTCTAAACTAAGAGGAAAGAATTTCTTATTTCTGTTATTGCTTGGTAACTTAAGATATCATTTATTAGATTAAGGAATTTTTAGTACTCATTGAACATTTTAAAGTTGTAGTTCCACTACTAACTCTTTTTAATTTTGATGTCTTGGGTGAATTTTAACAAGAAGCAGCAATACTATTTTTAAATAGAAATTCACTAGCACCACCTCTATCAGTTAAGCAAACATATTCTTATTAAGTCTCAGGTATATTAGTATTTAATTAGAGAGGTTTTCCTTCTGATTAATTTTTTTTATGTTTTTGTTATTATTCTAATGAAAATATATTAAAAGTTTACATTTCTATAGTTCTGGATTATCATTAATATTAATATTGATATTAATGACTTTATCTTAATTGGATGTATATCGAATATGAATGTTAGGTTGAGAAGATTTTCTATTTGTTGAAGAACCTGTTTATTTTGTTGTTTTTTAGTTTGTTTATTAAGAAGTTGTAGGTGTTTATTTCATTTTATTAATTTTGATATCATTTTAAGTACCTCTAGAGATAGTTGGACTATTTCTATTGGAAAAGAAATTTTAAGTTCCTGTAAGAGGTCTATGTGTTTATGATCCATTTTTCCATTTTAATTCTTATTCTGTAGGTTCTTCTTCTATCATTATTTTAGATATTTATTTCAAATTTAATTTACCTAAAAAGAATAATCAAAAAATAAATTACCAATATTGGGTTGATTAATGTTGGAGGTTTTTTGATGAGTATTTGTAGTAGGAGAAGGTATATTATTTTGATTGGCATTATTTAGTAATTAAGGGATTGATAATACATTTCTTTTTAGATCTTTTAAGAAAAGCTATGTTGAGATCTTTGGTTAATGTTAAATAATAGTTTTAGATTTAGGATTAGATTATTATTTATTTTATTCATTTTGATCAACTCTTGTAAGACTTTAAGGATTGTCATTATATTATTATTTATTTTTAAAGATAGAATCAACTTGATTTCTCACAAAATTAACATTGATATCTTTTGATAATCTATTCATTTAGAGTAATAATTCAGTATTTTATTTAGAATGTTGTGAACCAAATCTTGATTTAGATTCTTCTTATTATTTTTAAATTAAAGTTTAAATTAATTATTCGTGTGGTTAACTTAATTTCTTTTAAGGTTTTTAATGTTAAGAATCACTTTTAATTTAAGTTTTCTTAACTTATTAATTGATATAAGTTAGAAACTTATTTAATTTCAATTCTTCAGTTTTTCCTGTTTAAATAAATAGAGAAGATTATTCAAAAGCTTAGTTACTTAAATGTTTGCAAATTTCTTAGAGTGTACATGAAATATCAATTTTTTATTTATTTAATAATCTTGATTTATTTAACCAACTCAAGTCTTTCAAAATTTGAATATTTCTAATTCTTCTAGTAGCTGTAGGTGATTCTTCTTCTTTTTAAGTTTCTTAAGAATTTGCAGGAGAAGGTCTTTCACCTACAATACCTTTAGGAGGTCGATTTGGATTTTTTTTATTTTCTTCTTCAATCAAACGAGCAATCCTATAGTACTCATATTTACGCTTCTTATCGTAATATTTATTTAGTAAGGTCGCTATTGGTTCCATAAATAATCTAGCAATATCTGTATGAAACTCTTTTATATGGTTAATTTTACTTTATAGTATTCAGTTAACAACTGGACCTTCTATGGATATTCATCTGTAAAATAATATCTTTTCAAGTATTCATCCTTATAATGATTATTAAATTTACATCATCATCATATCCATACCAATCTTTATATCTAATTACTGCTTTTGATGAAGCATCAGCAAGAATTTCATTTACATCTCTTGTGTAATAATAATTCTAAGATTGACAATAACGAAGAAACAAATTTTTATGAGTCCATATAACAGTATTCTGAATCAATTCTGATTATCTAATTATTTTCAAATTTTCTTTGCTTATTTAATATTCCTTGCTATGTTTCATAAACTTATTTATTTAATTAATAATATTTTAAAAAACTAAAACAACATATTTTACTATCTATTACAACAACAGCTCTAATTCAACTCAATAATCTTTATATTTTTTAATAGAAAAGAAATTTTAACAAATGAACTCTAATCAATAGAATGATACTGCATAACTTAAATAATAACAAAACGAACTTATTGAAAAGAAAAAATAAATTTCAAAAAAAGTAGTTGTTCAACATTTTGAATAAGAAAAATAAAAAATCTAGTATAAATATCTTGGTTAACAATCCTTTTCAAATTAATCCAGAAGATGAATTAATAATTCATTTCATAAAATTGTATTGAAGGTAGAATTCCTAATATATAGGCTTTAGATAAATGTATCAATTTAAAGCAATGATGTTTGAGAACAAATTTAATCCCAAAAACTGGAAGGATTGTAAAATTAATAATAATACTTGAAGAATTAGATTTATATGATAATCGTTTAATTAAGATTGAAAATATTGAAATATTAATCAATTTAGACATCCTAGATTTATCATTCAATAATATTAAAAAAATAGAAAATTTAGATAACTAAAAAAAACTTAAGAAATTGTTTTTATTAAGTAACAAAATCAAAAAGGTATTATGTTCTTTATAATACATAGTTTAAAATTTAGAATTTCCTGAACTCATTATGTTAGAATTAGCATCTAATAAAATTACAGAAATTGAAAATCTTGATAGTTTATCTCAACTTCAAGAATTATTTTTAGGAAAAATAAAATATCAGTAACACTTTAGAATTATTATCTTTATCTTGTAATAAAATTTAAATAATTAAACCTGAAATACAAATCCTATAAAATTTGAATTATTTATAGATTGCTGAAAATTTCATTTCAATTATTGAACATTGAATTAAAAAAGTTTAAGGAATAGATTAATTATAAAATCTTTAAGTTTTCTGGAAAGTATTGATTATAAATAATAGACAAATAGCAATAAAATAGAATATTTTAAGGATTTCAAATAATTGAAATTGAATTAAAATATAAAGACAATTTATGTAGAATAAAATCCAGTAGCTTAGTTTTTTGATTATAAAATGCGATTATTATGTTAAGTTCCAACATTATTTTAAATAGATGCAGTAATAATTAAATGAGGATAAGTATAATCATTATATAATATATTAATTATTTAAAAATTAAACATGCAAAAACCTGAATAAGTGATGCAAGATTTTGCTAATTTATTAGATAAATGTATATTGAATTAAGAATAAAAATGTTAGATAGAAATGATCCTGAAGCTTGGTCATAAATATACAAGGTTATAAATTATAAACCAACTTAAAATATTCCTAAAGGATAATCGTTAGATCCAGAGAAAATTCGAGAGTTTTTAAGATTAGGAAAACCTGGAACTTAAGAATTTGATCCTTATGATGATATGATTTATTTTGATGATAACAAAGTGAAAGAAATAGTTTTAAGATAAAACTTCTTAATAGCAAAAGGTTGATTATAATTAAATTTAGGTTATTTTGATCCAAAGGCGTATTTCCCGTCAATTAATTTAAGTAGTTTAGATGATACATCATTTGATGAGAAAATTAAAGGTATATAATATATTAATAATAAGAAATGCTTAAAATACCAGAATAAGGAGATAAGAAAATTTGAAAATTACATCATGTCAAAAAATAATTCAATATTACTTTACTAAATCATAATACAAACTTATAAATGCGTATCAATGCTTATTTGAGATCATCAATATTCAATGGTTTAGTTAACACTGTTTACATTCCACTTTCATAACATTTTTCTATTTCATATTAACCATTAAAGGCTGTTAATCCTATGATAGGAATTGATGGAATGATTTTTCCGCTCATCATATTTCTTAATCTTTTTGTTGTTTACCATCCATCTAAAATTGGCATTTAACAATCCATTAATATAAATACATATAGTTAACAATCTTCATCACATTTTTTAGCTTATTTTACAATATCTATAGCCTATTAACCATTATATGCAAGTTATATTTCAAATCCCATTTATCCAAGAATCATTTCAAGTGCTTTTTAATTAAAAGAATCATCATCAACTGATAATGCTCTTTAACATTGACATTTTAATTTAAATTTAACTTTGCTGAAGTTTTATTATAATTAACTTTAATCATCATTTCTTTATTACATTCTAGACGCAAGTGAATTATGTCTATGTTTATTATTATTTAAAAATTTTGGATTAAAATTAGATTGTATTTATATAAGTTGATGAGTTAAACCAAATCTATCGGAATCTATATACTGATATATAATGATTTAATACCTTATATTTATAGATCTGTCTCTATTTAACCTTAAATTCCTAAAATTTGATTCGAACTTTTTCCAAAATAATCAGCTACTGATGGAAGTTCTTTTACAGGTATATTTTTAAAAGATGAATTTGTAGGTTCTGCATTAGTAATTATTAATAAACCTTATATAATTAATTTATTATACCTTATAAACCTTCACTTAAATCAGGTACTGTATTAGGTGTTGATAAAGATCCTCTTTTAAATGTTTTATTTTGACCTAATTATTAAGTAAAAACTTATGTTTGAGTTTTTATTCTAAATTTTACTTCAACACCTTAATTCAAACCCTTAGAATTAATTTAAAGATAAGATTTATTTTAAGGAGCCAATGTTATTAAATTCATTTAACTTACCAATAGTCCTAAACCTTACCATTCATGTTATTATGATATACTTCTATTTAATGCAAAATCTTGTAAATTCTATTGTATTTTTGATAATGTTGCAGGTTCTATTCCTTAACCTTAATCTTATATACTAAACAATACATAACCATCAAAACCTTATATAACTACTTCAACTTAACCTTTAGAACTAAATTTAACTGAATTTTAAAGTATGTTCACTAAAATTTACATTATTCTATAATAATCAGATTTTATCACTGTTGGAATTGATCTCTAAGCATTTACATGCAATCCTATTTTTTTATGCTAAAAAATTAGTTTAAATAAATCATTAATTTCTTATATGATATCTACAAAATTAAAATCTGAAAAATCATATTTTATCATCTTCTAATTAAATTATGTGAAATCAATTATATCTCTTATTATATAAGCTTATAATCTTAATGAATTTTTAGCAGGATCAATAAAATTCTCTTTTAATTATTAAGGTAATTGATTTGTTTAACTTAAACCTTATAAAAATAATTCTGCACTATTTAATGGTGTTCTTAATTCATGTGAAAAAGAATCTACCATTTTTACTATGAATTATTCTTTTGTTTCAATCTTTTTGAAATTAGTTTACAATGTTATATCCTATATTATTATTAAATATTCATTTTCATCCTATGCAGATGAAATTTTAAATAATAGATTTCTCTCTTCAAAAAATGCATCATTACCTTTACAAAATGTCGCTGATAATTCTAATTAATCATCGCGTGTTTTAAATTTTTCTAATTGACCTAAATTTAATAAATTTAAGATTTATTTTATTGTGAAGATTTTAGTTTAAATTTTTTATTATGTTACATTAAATGAACCTGAACCTTATAATAAACCATTTTTCTCTAAAACTATGCTTGTTTAATGTATAAAATAATTTTTCTTTTAAACTATTGTGCATTCCACATTTTCTAATATAAATTTCCCTATGTCATTTTCAGCTTCAAAAATTTATAATAATTGGTCATTTTCAAATAATATTTCTAAATTTTCCTTTTTAACTATTACAATCCCTACAGGAAAATTTTATAATTTATTCATCCATTTTAAACTAACAGATTCACTTATTCGATTAATTAATAATGATTATCTAGTTTAATTTCTTATAGGTTTCAGACCTATATTTGATATTTCTTCTAACTTAATTTTCTCTTTCTTTTTTATAGCATGTTGTTTTTCTTTAAAAATCAACATTGTTGCATAACCTACTGAAAAATAAGTAACTCCTTATTCATTCCAAGATATCATCAAAAATAATTAAAGAGCATTCAAAGCTATTATACTTATGAAACTAAATTGCTTCTATAAAATATCTATCAATTGCTTCTCATAAAATTTAATTAACAGATATCCGTATCTCAAAATTTCTTTAAAATAAAAGCAACAATAAAATATTTGAATCAATTAAGCAAATAACATTATAATTTGCAAATATTTTCTCTTTTTTCTTCCAAATTTCTTTGCAATACAAGGCGATAATATTATACCTAACAATTAGATTGTAATTGTATTGATAGTTACTATAAAAGAATCTTTTGAATAACCATAAATTATCGCTGATAGAGCAATATCAATTAAGCATTTGAAATAATACCAAAATTCTTTATTATTAAATTTCATTAATAAATATACAACAATTAAGTTTCTCATTTATATATTTTATATGTAAACACTATAATTTGGAATTAAAATATATCACTATTCAAAATATAATTTAATTCTATAGATTCAATAATAAGTTGTTAAGTCATTATTTGGAAATATAATTTAGATATCGAATAACGGTTATATTTATCCAAGAAAGATGAATTTTAAATTATTCACTTTGAAATCAACTAAGAATAAATTAAATCATTAATTTATTAATAAATATTTTATATATATATGTAAATATATATACTCATTCACAATAAAAGGCTATACTTTATTACAATTCTAATAATCCAGTTCTGTTTCTTATAAATTATATAATTGAAATTACCTCACGCTGGTAAAGTGAAGAACTTATGATGAATAGATATGTTTATCTAATTTTTCTCTACTTTTTTAAACTAATTCATCAATTTTTGAAATTTTATCACATTTTGTAAAAACAATTGTAAATGGTTTTTCTAAACTTTACATTAATTATAATGTCATAGAATCAACATCTTTAAATCTGATAATAATTAAAATATATATTTACCCATGTTCACCATCTATTAAAACATATGATTATTTTAAAAAAGGGCTATTTTTAATATAATATTGCATAAGATATCCCCAATTTTAAACATCTTTTTTATTTCCTTTTGCAAAACCATAACCAGGAGAATCAACAATCACCTTAGATTAGCCTAAATTATAAAAATCTAACGATCTAGTTTTCCCAGGATAATTTGAAGTTTCAGCAATATTTCTTCCTAATAAAGCATTTAATAAACTTGATTTTCCTACATTTGATCTTCCTAAAAAATGTAAAATCTTAAATAAATTTACCTATAATTAAAAACTAAGCAATATGAATGATTAATTTACCTCTTTTCTTTTAATTTTATTTAATTCTTATTCACGTTATTTTAACTGAAGGAAATTATCAATATTATTTTTCTCGAATTTACCTTCTATACTAATCATTTTATAGAAAATTTCTGAAGCCATTTGACTCTAAATAAGTCTTGTGGATAATTACTCACATATTTAGGTTTCAGAAATTAGATTGGCTCTCCTTTTAAGTCAAAAATTGTTGAAGAAAATCGAAATTGAGAAATTTTTATGAACATGCAGAGATAAATAAAATAAATAATATAAAAATCTAATTACTCTCTATTCTTTCGTTTTTATTTCATATCTAATCAGAACACATTCTAAAACTTCTTCTTTAAAAAAGTTCTGAATCTAAATTCAGTGAAATTCTTCTTTAGGATTTTGGTGGTGTTTATGCTGTATCAAGAGAATATAATGAATTTCTTTAATTGCAATATTTTTCGACTTAAGTCAATTGATTAATTCCCAACTGATCTAAATATGTGACAATTGATTATTCTATGTCATTTTTAATTGGTAACCATCCGTAAGTAAATTATTCGTTTTTTGATGAATTGTCATTTGATTTCTAGAACTGAGGTGATTGCATTAATATTATTATATTTTAATATTATATTTCATGATTTTGAAATCCTTTTATTTCTAATTAGTTTATATTTTCTCACAAATTTATCTGTCCAACCTTTACTTGCTTTGAAATCAACTCCTTATTTAATCATTTTTAAAGCTTATGTCTAAATCATTGCTCGAGACACTCTTTTATTAGTATTTTATATTGTTTCATGACACCAAGCAGCTAATTTTTATTCCATTTCTAAATCTATAGATTTGCGCCCACATCCTTTCTTTCTAAAAGGACCTTATTTTTTCCATCTTCTAATGTTCTTTAATGGTATATCTAATTCATCTGCTATAGTTCTTTCATCTCTTCCTTCCTCAATCCATTTGAGCGCACAAATTTTTAAACTTAGACTATAACTTCTGTACTTTCCTCTTTCTTTTTTCTTTTTTTTTCTTTATTATCTTGCCTTTATATCTCTTACTCTTTAACAAAGGTTCTTTCTAAATTTCACAGGAATTAATTGAAATTTTTCACAAATTGGTTTCTCCATGTTGTAATAAAAGTGAAGAGTTATCATTTTTTTATTAAAATCTATTTTTATATAAATCAATCTCATCCTGTAAATATTGAATTTCTTCATTAATTGCAAATTTCTAAATTTTGTCAACTCAAATACTTTTAATTTAAATCTAAAATATTTTTCCTAATTAACAAATTCTACTAATATTTAATCAAAACCAACTTTAATTATACTTATTTTAATTCATTCCAATTCTTTGACTATTCTTAATTTTCTTCTACTTATTTATAAAATATATTTTAAACTTTTTCTAACTTATTTTATAAGCAAAGAAACTTATATTATATTATAAGGATTTATATTATTTTAATATTTTATTTTATAAATGATTGAAGATTTAAAAAGACAACACGATTTATTATTGGAAGAAATGTAATCTTGTTAATATACATTGACTTCTGTTGAAGAAAAAGGGCTTATGATAATTTCAAAAGGTTATCTTGGGTATTTAATTACTAAAGGATTATGGTTGAAATTAAGGATCTGGATTTCTATAGAAGAAGACAATTTCATCAAGTGTAAATTAATTTTATGTGAAAATTATCTATATAAAGAAAATGCATAGAAATCACTTAACTTAATTTTATCAAATTTTAAATTGGCAACAACATAAGCGTGATAATTATAATAAATTAAAATTTTAAGTTAATATCATATTACTATTCAATTCTTCTTCATGGGAGATGCTTGGCTAAAATATTCAGAATCCTCTTATTCAAATTTTTAAAGAAATTTTTCGAAATCTTTCATTCTTATTTTTACAGTAGAAATACTTGAAGTAGATTTTACAAGCGATCTTTAAGAAAAGAGCTATGATATGTGTTGTAAAATATACCGAAAGTAAGCTACTGTTTTTTTTTAATGATTATTTATTATTATTCTTGAAGAGACTTTTAAAATTATCAAAATCAATCTGATCATTTTATACTTCTAATTATTCTAGAAACTCATCTACATCAAATTACAAATCGAATTCCTCTTTTAAAATTTCAATTATTCTATTTTTATGAATATATCCAGTTGAATCAGGTTCTCCTCCTAATGCTACGAATGCATCAACTAAAATATGTTTTTAAATTGTACTAAATTCATTAAAATGGATTTATAAGTCTTCATGTTTATTTTCTGATTCAAAATCTCTACACACTTTTGCAACAAATATAATTGTTTAGAAATCTAATTATTATGTATTTCTAAGTTCAATTTCCTTAAAGATTTTTTCTTTGCATTTTTAATCAATAGAGAATCCGAATTCTAGTTTTTCACTTCACAATTACATACCCTTTAATAGATCAATCATATCATGATAACTCAAATAGCCTTATTTATTGTAATCTAATCTTTTGAATATTTTTAACAATATTTCAATTTCAACTTTTGGTAATTCACAACCCTAAACCTAAGAATACTTTAAAAGTAGATTGTAATCTAATTTGTTATTTTTTTAATTAATTAGCTAGACTCTTTAAGAAGACTATTATTCCACAATAGGTATGCTATTAATATTGCTGTCCATTATATAGATAGTCTGTTATTAATATATATTTATTTGATTTGAATGATTAATTTAAAAAATTTCAAAATGATGGAAAATATTTTTCTTTTTTATTTGTAAATGAATGTTCATTTTAAGCTATGTCTTTATGATATAAAAGAAGAATTGAATTCTAAAATGCAATGTTGTTAAATTTATGTTATTATATATTATTATAAAAAATATTTATAATAAAATCATAGTAAATTCAAAATAAATCATCTGACATCATATCTTAAAGTTCTTTGCCTTTTTTAGAGTTTACAACTTTATTTATAGTTTTAGCTGATGCTTATGTTTTTTATGAAATTAAGCTTGAATTATTTAATTTCTTTTCTTCTTATTATTCTTTTTTACTTTCAATTTTTTGTTAAATCTCTTAAATGTTATTACTAATGATTTGATTTTTATATTATTATTGAATATCTGATTACTCAAGTACTTTATTAATATCAATTAAATCTTTAGCTTATGAATTTTTATATTAGATTAATGCCATTTCTCTATCAAATCCATTAGTTAAACCATCAGTATACCATATTGTATCCTTAACTTATTTAATTAATTTTTCAATATTTGGTTCATCTACTTTTTTTCTTACTCCATACTATTATGAAGTAGCATTTTTTAATTATCTGGCTCCCTTATTTAAGAAATCTAAATCTCTAATAATTTTAAAATAATCTTTTTTAGTTTCTTCAATCATCTTCTCCATTTCTTATAGGCTTTTTTTTGGAATTTCAGCTTTGATTTCCTATTATTTAGTTTGATGTTCATTTTAAACTTATTTCCTTTCTTAAGCAGACATAGCCCTATATTGATCCTAAGTATTATTAAAAATTTATTCGAATACTTTCTTCTGGATTGGAAAAGAATTTGGAATTCTTAATAACTCTGGTAATGGCAATCTTACAAATTCTTATACTTTCTTTTCTATCTTTTCTTCTTCTAATTTTTTTACAAACTTCTCTATATATTAATCATGTTCTTTTTATAACTCTTATTAAATATTCTCAATTGTAACAACAGTATCAGAATAATTGTCTTCATGAATAGAAGAGTATCTATCTTTTTATTCCTCTTGTTTTAATTACTTAATTCTCAAGTATTAAAACAACTCCATTTATAATTTCTCTTCCATAATGGTTTACTTAAAATAGTAACATTTGTACATCATCTTTATCATTAACAGCTTATGCACCTCCAAAAGGAGGAGGATTTTCCATTTAAATAAATTCAGGAAGAGTTATTATTTCTTTTACTTATTTCTGTTTAAATTAGCAAGGTAAAGGAGGAATTTATTCACTAAATTTATCTATTCTTTTTGGTTTATTAACTTAATCTAAAAAATGATCGAATTCGTATTATTTAATTTTTTAAATATTCTATGATTTTAAAATGAGTTCTTTTCCTTTGATTTTACTTGGAATTGAAGGGGCTGGCTTTATTTGTTTCATAATTATATAATTATAAAATAAATTAATAATTCAATAAATTTAAGTAAAAGTTCTCACAACCAATCTATTAATGTTTTTGTTTTTTAGTAAAGATTATGGAAGAAGTGTAATTATTAATTTCAATTAACTAAATTCTTAATCTTCTATATAATACCATATTAGAAATTCTACGCTTATTATAGCCAATGATCTAAAATTTATATATGAAATCGTACATTAATCCTGAGTATAAGAAGAAATTACTTAATTTATCTTTTACTTCTTAGCCTATTGTCATAGTTTATTCATAAAAATAATTGAAACTAGTATAGACTAAGTATTCCATATCATAAAAATATTGAACAAATATATTTTAATGAGTTTATGAATCTAAATATTCTTATAATAGTGTTATATCTGTTTCATATTAGAGAGAGTCTCTTTCATATGAAAATTCACTCTGTAATAAATTTTAATATTTTTACATCATCCCACTAATTCCCTAAGTTAAATACATATAAGTAATATCTTTTTCACTGTAGGTTAAATCGGAGGAAATATTACAAAAATAATAAAATTTAGGAAAATTTTCACATAGATTTCCTTACAACGCTGTCATAATAATATTTTATGTTGATGTATTAAAAATATCATTTTCCATAACTTCATCAATTATATCATTGATAATTGGTAACAACTAATCAGTATAATTAAAAAATTAAGATATAATTTCTGTTTAATTAATGTATTTTAATGAATCAGAATTTATTAAGTATTCAGTTTTAATTAATTCTCCTAATAATACTGAACTATCAAATATTTTCTTGAGTTTAACAAATTAAAAANTACATCATCTTTATCATTAACAGCTTATGCACCTCCAAAAGGAGGAGGATTTTCCATTTAAATAAATTCAGGAAGAGTTATTATTTCTTTTACTTATTTCTGTTTAAATTAGCAAGGTAAAGGAGGAATTTATTCACTAAATTTATCTATTCTTTTTGGTTTATTAACTTAATCTAAAAAATGATCGAATTCGTATTATTTAATTTTTTAAATATTCTATGATTTTAAAATGAGTTCTTTTCCTTTGATTTTACTTGGAATTGAAGGGGCTGGCTTTATTTGTTTCATAATTATATAATTATAAAATAAATTAATAATTCAATAAATTTAAGTAAAAGTTCTCACAACCAATCTATTAATGTTTTTGTTTTTTAGTAAAGATTATGGAAGAAGTGTAATTATTAATTTCAATTAACTAAATTCTTAATCTTCTATATAATACCATATTAGAAATTCTACGCTTATTATAGCCAATGATCTAAAATTTATATATGAAATCGTACATTAATCCTGAGTATAAGAAGAAATTACTTAATTTATCTTTTACTTCTTAGCCTATTGTCATAGTTTATTCATAAAAATAATTGAAACTAGTATAGACTAAGTATTCCATATCATAAAAATATTGAACAAATATATTTTAATGAGTTTATGAATCTAAATATTCTTATAATAGTGTTATATCTGTTTCATATTAGAGAGAGTCTCTTTCATATGAAAATTCACTCTGTAATAAATTTTAATATTTTTACATCATCCCACTAATTCCCTAAGTTAAATACATATAAGTAATATCTTTTTCACTGTAGGTTAAATCGGAGGAAATATTACAAAAATAATAAAATTTAGGAAAATTTTCACATAGATTTCCTTACAACGCTGTCATAATAATATTTTATGTTGATGTATTAAAAATATCATTTTCCATAACTTCATCAATTATATCATTGATAATTGGTAACAACTAATCAGTATAATTAAAAAATTAAGATATAATTTCTGTTTAATTAATGTATTTTAATGAATCAGAATTTATTAAGTATTCAGTTTTAATTAATTCTCCTAATAATACTGAACTATCAAATATTTTCTTGAGTTTAACAAATTAAAAAGTGGTTCTCAAAGACTACTTATATTAAGAATAGTATTCTAAATGTAAGAATGATACAGATAAGCTTAAAGTAATGAATATAACAAAATAGGTTAATGGTAATATGAATGATTTTAAAGATTTATATTTATGGTTAGTTAATTTATGATTGATTTAAGCATTAGATTTTGATTTTATGAGACGATTTTATTACTAATTATTGGTTGTTGATTAATTTTAAGTTGTAGAGGTCATAGTATGATAAGAATGTATTCCACCTAATTAAATAATCATATCATTTATTGTATCATGACTTAAATGACTTAATAGTTAGAAAATGTTATTTTTTATTTCTGAAGACCAGATCATGGTTGTTGATTAAATTAAAATAATTATACAAGCTAAGCTACATTCAACAATTAAAATTATATTAAATTGTAAAGTTGATTGTTCTATTTTATTTAGTACGATTTAAACTAAAGCTTCCATTGCAATATCACAAAATACAAATATTTTTATAACATTTTATCTTATAAAATTTGATGAATTTAGAGTTGAATAATCTTCTAAAGGTGTTTTATAATTAATTAAATTTTCTCTATGCATTTTATCCATTTTTGTTCTTGCTATATCAAAAAATTGTAAATAATCCATTTCATCCTTTTCAAGAGTATTATTAATATAAAAATCAACAATAATCTTTTCCTAATTTATATCAAGACTTAAAAGATAAGAGCCCATTGCATCTTAATTGTATCTTACTAAAAATATTCCATTCACAAATTCAAGTGATCCCAATCTTGAATTCTCCACAAAATCAGATAAGTTATAAATATTATTAATTTAACACAATCTATTCCACTAATTTAAATATAAAGCTGCATAAACAAATGTAATTGCTTATGGATAAATTGCATAATCATAATAATATTCAAAAACTTATATATCTTTTTAATTTGTCGAAATATTAAAATAAGATAAAACTATTAGGATTATTGAAACAATTAATAATAGAAACAATGAAATTTTAATATGTTTATATGAACGTTTATGATTTATTAAATTCTCTCCTTAAACATATGTTTATGTTCGTTCCAAATTATTTTATTAATCACATTATTATATGTTATTTATTAGATTATTAAGACCTTATTAAATGTATTAATCTTAAGATATGTGACTTTTTAATCCTTCAACTCCTAAAAAGTTAATAGAAAATAATACTATTTAATCACCTTAAATCTATTCATATTTTTAAAAGTTTAATTCATATTCAATATCTATACTGATAGATTTAGAACTGATCACTAATTTTGATATTTATTCTTGATAATTAGGTTTTATCATTTTTATTGGAATATTTTAAATTTTAGGATCTGTAGCTTAAGCTATAGTGACTTTTGATTTAAAATTATTAAACATATTTTTAGTAGATTAAGAATAAAATAATTATTGTAATGATTTTCTGGAAGTTAATTAAATTTCCTCTTGATAAAATTATTTTACTCTTTCAAAACATTTTTTATGATTTAATGGGAATTTCCATTAAGTCTATGTTTTTAGTGTAAATTAGTTTTGCAAAGTTAAATTCTAAAATTATAAAACTTAAGAATAAATATCATTAATATAGAATTGAATCATGGAATTTTCCAAAAATTCATTGATCTTTAGTTGTTAGGTATAGGCATTTTCAGATTTTAAAATTAAATGTTCATAAATTTCTTTAGAAATTCCAAGTATCTAACCATCGGAATTAAACCATAATGTTTACGGAGTCAATTTTTCAATTATAATAAATTGATTAATTATAATATCATCATCTGTTAATTAGTATGATAGATTAAATTGGCATGGTTAAATAAATTATTCATTTTTTAAAACTCCTATTATTATATTCTTAGAATTCTATGATGATTCTAAATAAGATTTAATTAATTTAAAATAAGAATCCTTCCAAAATAGAGGTAGTATATCTAACATATTTTGTGGTATAATTTTGAGATTTGGAAATGTTTATTTTAATCTTTAAGTATTAAGTTTATAAATCTTTCCAAATTCCCTCTAATAGCTAATTTGTATAACGAAGCATTAACCTAATTTATAAATGTCTTTAAAATACATGCTTCAATTTATAGATTTAATATTTTATTCCATTAAATTTTATCAATCATTCTACTTCTTATTTATGAGGCCTAATTTAACATTTATTATAAATACTTTTTCTGAATCAAAATAAAAATTTTGATAAAAGTTAGCTATATGTTTGATAGTTAGAATATCACTTTTGGATAGAAATTTCATTTTTTATTGATTTAAATCAATTAAATTTTCAAATTAATTTTTGTAATTTTACAATTCTTATGTAGTTTTATTTAAGCTCTTTAAAATTGAATTTATATAAGCTTATTCCTCTTAATCACTTTTTAATTGCAGTAAAAAATCTATTTTTATTTTTGATATTTTATTTAAAATCATAATCACTTTATCTTCGACAATTAAGACTTTGGTGGCCACTTTTATATCTTCTTATTGATTATAATAACGATTGCAATGAGAATTGAATATTTTTTTAATTGTTTATAATTTTATTTTCTGTAGATATGAGAATTATTCAGATTTAATTTTTGATAACAGTAAAAGTCCTTACATACAATTTTTATTTTTTAAGTAATCAATGTATTAAATTTTCTAATCAAAATTATCAAAATTATTTATAATCTGAAAAATATTAAGGTTAGCTTGTTTGATTTATGAAGCTATTAAAATTTCAATAATCTTTTTCTTTTTGTTTGATTGAACTAAATTATGAATTTAAAATTTTAATAAAGATAACTGATTATTATCTAATATATAAGATAAAATAATCTTTTATCTAATTGCAGTTATTAAAGTAATACCTAAGATAAAATAAATCATCATTTAACACCAATCTAATTTAAAAGTGTTTAATAGTATCTAAATAATTATAATAATTTATATTGATAATTAAAAAGTTGTATTATGATCTTATTTTTCAATAATGATGGAGCAATAAATAATCTTGAGTATAATTTGTATTATTTAAATAATTAAGATGCTTTATGGTATAATTGCTTTGATTAAACAAAATGAAATGTTAAAGAACATAATTATAAAATGAATTAATGTTGAAAAGTAAGCTCCTTCAGTTTCTATAAAATAAAGCTTTGTATTGAATGAAATATTCAAGACTTCAATAGTTAATGATAAAATCATGCAAATGATAGATACTTCATTAATTGACTATAGGGATAAATTTTGAAAAGCTGCATAAAAGATTGGAATAAATAGCAAATAATGATTAATAAACATTAAATAATAGGTTACTGAATTGGATTGTATTAGTTTTTTCATATAACTAATTGTCAGTATGTTGATACAAACAGAGAAAGTTATTATAATTGTAGCCATTACATAAAATACAGAAGATGAGTTAGTTGATAATAAAAAAGTAATCCTGTATCGATTTGCAATTTCTAAAATTAAGCTAAATATTGAATATTTATACTAATTAAAATTAGGGTTGTTTGAAAGTTCAATCTGTTGTAATTCATGAAGAACCATAAAAATTTAGACAATTATAATTTATAAAATGTGATCTGAATTTCGTTCAAATACTAATTCATTCAATGTTAGAATGTAATGTTTTGAAATTGCTTTCAATTACTTATAAGTCTTTAAGAGTACTTTGTCAATCATTTAATTTTAATTTAAATAGCTTTTTATATTAAAATTGAAACACAAGTATTAAATTTCATTTAATCTGTATTAGTTGGGAGTACAACAATTTATTAAACCCTTTTTGTTAAATTAAAGTAGGTGGAAACAAAGTAGCAATCAATTTCAACTGATTTATTCTGTTATATTATTTGTTAATCCAATATCCTGATAAAAATGAAGTAAAGATAAGAAATCTAAATTATAAGTAATATTTACGCCACAGATGATGAGATTAAATAAATCAATATTTAATTCGATAATTTATTACTTAATATCTAAGTCTCTGTAAAAATGTCTAAAAAGCAAAAATAAATGCAAGTTTATAGTTCAATAAAGTATTGCAAAAATAAATGGCCATGTATTTGTAATTTTAGAAAATAATTTGAATGACTCTAATCATATTCATAACGTTAATTTACTTGCTCAAAGTTGAATTCTTATTTAGATAATTTATTTAAGTCTTAAATAATTCCATATATGCCTTTATCAATTAATGTTTAATAATTTTCACTTTCATAATATTCTTTTTATATATTTTCTATTTTGCAAAAACTCAATATACTAGAGTAGTAAGTACAAAGATCATCATTAAAAATGTCAATCAACTATTATTAAAATGTTTAATTATAGGAGCTTGTAATAACAAGTTCATTATTAATTTAATCTGAAAGATTCAACAAAACATCAATATTATTGAAAAAGAATTCAACATGATCAGTTTAATTAATATATTCAATAGAAGTATTGTTTTAAATGAGATGTTCAGTTTTTATAACTTCTCCTACAATTACAGCAGAATCAAGCCTTGATTTCAATTTCAAATATTTCATTGTAAGTATAAGACTACTTTAATATTAACTATTATATAATTTGGATACCAATTAGGAGCCAAATATAAATAATATAAGTTCAACACCTACTATCAATGATAAAATTATTAATAAAGTGTACTTTTCACTATAATGATCTAATTTGCTTAAAGGGTTATTCTTAGCTTAATTTGTAATAATTTTTTCACTTTATTTTTAAACAAGAGGTTCATCTTTTTATTAAATTTGATTCAATAATAATTTTTATAATTATTCTTTCTAATAGTTTAATATTTCTAATTACTCTTAAATAATTTTAATATTTAAATATTATAGCAATCGTATAAGCTTGGTTTCTGTCCTTAACAATTTACAATTGACAATAAAAAAAACAATTATCAGAATTAATATTACCATAGAAGAATATACACAAAAGATGAATGTCCTATCCTCAAATTAATCAAAAGAATCTTCAGTAGATTTAATCACTTCATCTAATATAAAATTGTGGAATTTGTATATCTTTAACATATTTTAACGAATTATCCCATTTGTTTTAAGTATATCTGGATCAAAAGTTGAAATATTCTTAAAATCTGTCTTTTTAAATTATCTAACCAAAGCTTCTCTCATTATTGCATAAAATTCATAATAATCCAAATATTATTAAACTTTTATATCATTTTTATAGCTTATTAAATCGATGTTTTCAAAACCCAATTAAATACTTTTTCTACTGAGATTCATTGAATATTCTTCATGAACACTTCCCCAAAAATCAAAAACATATATCAATTAATTTTATCTTTTATATTCTAAAAAGGGACTTATAATATAAAGCTTGTTTTAAATACAATATTAATTCCACATTAACATAAAAGAAGCTCCAATATTAAATGTCATTGCCTAAGGAGTATTTAAAAAATTAACATCATTTTGATAGTTAATCATATTAGCATAATTTAATTGATAACTTACAATTAAAGCAACTGTGGTTACTAAAATCATTAATATGACAATCCAAATGTTATATTTTAAAGGAGTGTATAATTTCTTACTTTTTATTAGGTTAGAAATGAATTCATAATCAGATTGTAGTCCTTCAAATTGTTATTCATTGATAATTAATGATTAATTTTAAATATCTTCTATTAAAGGAATCTAGGTTATTTTTTCCTATTAAAATTCTTCTATTTATTTATATCTCAAAACAAAGTAGTTAGTCTCTGATTCTATATATTTTTATTATACAAATTCTAAAGATCCTTCAAAATCTATACTCTTCATCCTAGAAGGAGGAACAACAAGTGCTTGTATTTGATTCATTATTTATTTTTGCATAATCTTAATTTTCACATTTTTTATGATAGGCATTTCATCTGTTAATTTATGTTATTTTGAAGAAACTAATCTTTTTGTGGATGATGAATAAAAGATTTTTTTAAATTATGATGATATAGTTCCTTCATCATTTACAAGTCCTAATGCTTAAGTTTATTCAAGGCATTTTTTATGATTTACTGGAAATTACCATCTTGAAGAAATATTCACTGTTTATTAAAATGTTCCTAATTAATATTGAGCTGCCAAATCTTAAATATGAGAATATATTTCTGGAAGATAATACTATATCATGCCTGACTATATGAATTCAGAAACTACTAACTTTTTAGTAAAAACATTATCACTTTTTGAAATTAAAAATTCGTATATTTATTAGGAAATACCTAATACTTTTCCTTCTGAATCAAATATTGCAAAATGATTAGGTTAGTTTTTAAGCACCAATAAATTTTACAAGATTATATCATCTTTGCTTATTGTAACATAAATGTATAAATTACATTCAACCAAATACTCATTTTTATAAAAATATAAAGTCAAAGGCTAATTTATATCTAAGCCTTAATATAAATATTAACTGACAAAACTATTATAAACAGTTTTTTAGAATTAAGGTAACAATTCTATAAGTTATTTAGGTTCCATTTATCCACCTAAAATTTAGAGAAGCCTTTTATTATTTTTATTAATTATGTTATTTGAATCCTTTATAAAGCTTGATGATAATAAAAAGGCCTCATCTATTATAATTTAAATATATTTACTTTTCTGAAATTTCATATTCATAATCTTATCATAAGCCAAAAGGTCACTTTATTTTTTCTAGAGCTCTTTAACCTATCATAATATTTTTAAAATTACCTTATAATAGTTGCTGTAAAATACAAATAAAAATGAAGATACAATATTAATTGAAATTTAATCTGAATTCTTAAATTCTAATAATCTTCCATTTTGAATATCATATTATTTTTCATATATATTCTTATATTTTTCAAGTGTTTCTAAGATCTTATTAAGTTGAATTCTAAATGACTTTAGATATTAATCCATGGCTTACTCTTTTGCCAATAATATATAAAATTAACTTTTTAAATCAATAAAATTAATTAAAAGTTGAAAATTTGATTGTTCTAAAATCAATGTTTTTATGTATAGATTAACATTAAGAGGAGATGTAATTAATTTCTCACAAGATTGAATAACATTTAATAAATTGGCTTCTAAAGTTAATTGTTGCAAGTAGCTTAAATTTATCTTCTCTATATTAATTAAATTTAGATAGAGCTGAATTTTCTTGTATTTGAAGACATGTTATAATACAGTTAATCTTTCAGGGATATTTCCATCTTTTAGAACATGTTTTTAATACTTTAAAACACTTTATTCTTAAATTTTTGTAAAAAAATGCGAGAATGACCTAAAATTGTTAACCAATTCAAGATTGTTATAAATGCTGTATTTGAATAAATTTGGTTAAGAGTTTTTCGAAAATAATTCTTCACCCAATCTTTTTTAACGAATTGAAATTTAAATACTAATAAATAAAATGTATATCAAAACCATATCATACCAATATTGATTTGTTAAAAGTACTACAATGTAAGATATTACGAAATTAGTAATTTGTAAATAGTACCAACTGTTGTATTGATAACTATTAATCCTTTATGTAATCATAACAAATCTAGAAAAAAGCAAAAGAATAGGGGCTACTTAATTTTAATAATTATTTTGCACTACAAAGCAAATAATAAACTACATAAGTAATTAAAACAAATTAGCTGACCTTTAGGAGTAACAACCTTCAATTTCAATTAAACTATTTTTTATATTACAAAAACAATATATTATTTCTAAAACTAAACCTAATATTATTCCAATAATTGACATTTCTAAGTAATTTTAAGAAATTGCAAAATTAAATGAAATATTTAAAGTGGGGAGAAAAATTATCTAATGAAAAATATTCTGCAAGTATTTGTAAAATTATCCTACCAGAATAAATTTTTCTTTCTTATCAAAATAAACAATTATCACTGCCAAAAAATATATAACTTCAATTGAGAGCAATAATATCAAAAATAGTTCATCTCTCTCATATTTAATTAAATTAATAGTAAATTTTTATAGTAAAGACAATAGTGAACTTTGAATTAGCTTTGAAGACTAATTTTAAATATCGATTGATGTAATTAATTGTATTTCTTATAAGCCAGATATTAGAAGAAGGATTTTTGAAAAAACCAGATTAAATTATGTTGGCTCAATTTTGTTCTTCAGAATTATTTATTACATCCGTACTAAACAATTGAAGAGTAATTATCCTAATTTGTCATTTATTTTCTTCTTTTTTTGTGTTCTCCTCATATAACTCAATAAAAATATATTTATATTAAAGCAATTTAATTATTTAAGTAAGGAGACATTGTATATATATCATTTTAATATGATTACATAAATAAATAAAAAAAATAAAGTAAGAAATACCAAAATAAATTGAATTAAAATAATAATATCATTCAAACATATCATTTTTCTTGAAATTTTAAATTATGCTGTCCTATTAGTTTTCTTCATCTGAACATCTTTCAGAAATGTAACCTCCCTGTTTCTTGACTTATTTTTCACTTTAAGATAAATAAAGAGTTCCTAAACTTTTATCTGATTTGATTGGAGGAAAATCTATCTTTTGTGTTTCATAAACAACTTTCATAGGAAATCCATTACACATTTCATTGGGATCAATATAAAAATTCAAATTTGATAACCAACTTTTATCTTCATTAATTTTTTATTATTATTATTATTAATTTTAATAACCAGATTTCCTTGTTCGATGGAAGGCTGATTCTCCTTCATTATTAAATTTATTTCTTCTGAATGAATTATTTTAAACAAAAGGAAATACTCTTTTTCTTATTTAACTCTTTTTTCTTCCTTTATATCTTTCAATTATTGTTTTATTTGTAATATATGCATTTTCATTAATTTCTAATTATTTTAAGTTTTTTTCTTTTTACATTTCTTTAATTCTTTTCTTAATTTTTCTTCTCTCAATAACTCTAAATAAAGTTCATTAATACCCTCTCAAAATATCAGTAATGGAATTAATGGCAAAAATATCTATTGCGAATTATTATGCTTTTTTTCCAATCAAATCTTGATATCTAGATTCCCAAGATTTTCGAATTTAACGTAGAATAATTTTATCTTCAATTTATTCGATTCCATTAAGATCATTTTTCTTTTTTATTGCATTATAAGCTAATTGAATGCAAATATCTTTAAAATGAACCATTTAATTTTAATATATTTAAACTTGATAATCACTTAGTTTTTGAAATATTTCTGTTTTAAATAATCTCATTTTTTTTTTATGGTTATATAAATGAGATTTTATTTTTTGATTTTCTAAAAATAATATTATTTCTTAATTTACTTGAAGTAAAATCATAATATTATGAATTTTCATCTTTAAAACCTAAAGGGGGATTAATTTCAAACATCAAAAATGCAAAATCTTCTGGTGTTATCCAACCTGTACCTTGAGGATCATAGTCAGACCATTTAAGTAAAAAGTCTTCTAATTAATAAGGATTTATAGCTGCTGTATTTTCTAATTGACATTCTTAATATGATTCAATTATCATAGCTAAAAATAATGAAGTCATGATAATTCTAATTAACACTAGATAACTGATAAAGAAAAAGTAACCAAAGATTGTACTACAACCTCTGGCACCTTCTAATTATAATTATTCTGGAGTTTAAGTATGACAGCCCTAAGTATCAATTGTATAATCTGTCATATACAAAGACCAATATTAACCAGTTGATATATCGATTAAAATCAAAACACCATCTAAGAAATTTGAAAATGATTTAGTTCTTTAATTTTCTTCCATAGTATATGGATATTGTGGATCTGATGAAGTGCTCCAAATAGTAGAAAATGCTTAAACACCTATTAGTGAATAAATAATTATTGTAATGGCTATAAAAACAATAACACTAAATAAAGTCGGTATCAGATCTTAGATTACATCTATAAGGACTCTCAATTACTTATTGAATTTAAATAATTTATTTGCTCTAATGATTCTAAGTGATCTGATTATAAGAGGAATTGTATAGAGTCTAGGTAAATCAAAGTTATTTCTTAAAATTAACAGAATATCAGTCATTATCAAAACTATTAAATCAACCTTATTTAATATGTCTCTAAAAAAATGCACCCAGTAAGCCAGTAATTTTATGAACAATTCAATATGGAAAATTACTATAAAGAAAATATTCATTCCAAATAATGCCTCTTGTGTTGTAGAATTTTATTTACCACTAAAAGTTGAACAACTAAATAACTATGAATAATTACAAAATTAAATTGGCTAATAGTAAAATTAAAATTACAAACTCAAAATAGTTATTATTAGCCAAATGATAACATAACACTCTGTATTTATTTTAAGGTTTAGGGATGATATTGATTAATTTTTTCTTTTGCATTATTTGCATCAATTGTATCCATTATCTTTGGTATTCATTTAACTATGAAAAATTAGCAATATTTTCTTTAATTGTTCTGTAATTGTTAATAATCAAACCTTTGATTAGATTGAGTAATACAATATTAAGTGAAAAAATCAATACATAAAACAATAACTAATATTAAGATGATGAATTAATTTTAGGATTGAGTCCTCTATCAGTAATGTCTGATACACTAAACATTTATTATGTCCATCCTTCTCCGATAATTAATCTGAAGAGACAAAGCAGAGAATCTTAAAGTGTATCATAATTGCTAATATTATTAATCCATTATCCTCCTTTGGCTAAGCAGTCTTCTGAAGTGACGATTTCTTTGAACTCTTTGAGTGATACTTATGAACAAAAGTAGAGTTTACCCTTCCAAATTGTCATGCAAATAATACTTAAAATCCATAGACTAACACCAGTAACAAAAATCATTGAAGAAAGCAATGAGATGGTTTATAATAAAGATCTGGAAATCAAATTTAGTTATTCATTTTATGAACCTCTCTATATATATCAAAATTAATTACTCTTAACGTTATCAAAATTCTTAATGTCCTCAGAGCTCTAAATGCTTTAAGATATTAGTTCTAGTAAATATTAAGATCATCAATTGAACTAACAACCAGGATTACAAAATCTAATTAATTGTTATTGTTCAATATATATGATTTTTGAGGTTCTAATTTATTCCAATAGAAACCTTAAGCTAAGATTTTTATTAGAGCATCTAATATAAAAAGACCAGTAAAGATATAATTAAATACATCTAGAGTTAAATTATGTTATCTGAGAGGTTTATCATATCCTAATAAAATTAAATTTAATAAGATGATGAAACTCATTCCCCAATCATAATATTTGTGTTAAATAAAATAATGTAATTTTTTTCTTAAATTTGATCTATTATGTAATATAAACATTGAAGAGTTAATTAAATATTATTTAAAATTCTATTGTGAAATTGCATTAGGTAATACTTAGGAATCTTCTCCACTTTTGAAAATTTAAACTTAATAATATTTCGATTATTATCTTCTCAATATTGAATGTGATTTAGAATTATCATCTTCTTTTTCGCTATCATCAGATATTTTTGATAATCTTCCAAAAAAACGTTTTTTTTCAGATTATGAATTACTAACTTATAACAAAGAAGTTTCCTTTGTAGGTACAATTCTAGATTTATTCTAAATTGTTGAAATAACTTTTGCTGCTCTGGCTTTTGAAAGATCAGCTTCATTTTTAGCATCTTCATAATTATCAAGCATTAAAGTCAAAAATGAAGGTAGTATCAAAAATTTGCATATAAATTAAACAAAAATGAAAAAAACATATGGAATCCAAGATCCTGTTTCCAAAGTTGTATAATATATGGTTTACCATTAATCTGAACATATTATTATAAATAATGATGTGATTGTTTCTCTCATACTATCAAAATTTGCTCTTGGAATATATGAACCATTTAAATCATAAAATCCTAGTTCATTAAATCTTAATTATCCAGCAAAAAAGTTTCTACCCATTAAACCTATCACTAATCCATAAACAAATAAAATTAAAATCATTATGGGAATATTATTGAAAGATTTCCAAAGAGCTGATAATAAAACTCTATAATTTGACCAATTTGTTTATTAGTTAAAAACCCATAATAATCTTATTCCTTTAATTGTATTTAAAATAAATGGATGTCCTAATTAATTTAATTGAACTACTAAACATACAAAATCACATAAAAATTCCATAACAATTATAATTTTACTTTCCTTTTATTTCCATATATAAATTTTAGCTATGTCTTCAATTAAGTAAATTACTAAAAAAAATACATTCACTTTAGCTAATGTTCCTTCTAAATCATTTTTAGATGCAGATTCATCATTTAGAGATAAAACAAAAAGATTGGCTAAATATAATATACTATAAAAATATTGAGTTATTTTTGATCCTAAAATAGATTTAATCATTATTCTTATTTTTCGTGATTCATTGCTTCTTTTAGTTGAATTCATCAACATTATTATAACTCTTTGTTTACTTTTACTAAGATAATTAGGTGTCTAAAAAACAGTCTTTCTTTTTTCAGTTGATAAAGAGATTTTAGTATGACTATTAAAAAATAAAATTGGTTAAATTGGATCATCTAAATGCATTTCATATTGAGATTGTTTAAGTAATATGGCAACAACCAAATTTTATAAAAAGAATGAACTTATAAAAATATATGTCCATAAATAACCTGTACTCATATATTTATTAAATGAATCAGCTAAATTTTATTCTATTTCTACCCATCCTTCAATAAAATGAACAATAAATAAACTAGACATTGATTATTAGATATAATCAAATTTAGTAAAATTATGTGAATATTAAATATATGGTTATTCATAAGAGCCCAATTTACATTCATAACCAATTGAACAACTTCTACCATATCCACATAATCGAGTTGGATATTAATCTACCTCATTATTTGAATTTATGCAATAGTTTCCTAAGATTCCAGTCCATATTTACAATCCAATTACAGCAAAAACATAAAAGAAGAAACAAATTATTATGGTTATATAAAAAATTGAAATAAATGAATGCTCTATTGTTAAACAAAATTTTCGAACTATTCTTAAAATTTTGTATTACACAAAATACTCAAGTAAGAATAGTATTCTTAAAGAATAAAAGTAAGATTGCCTTAAAAATAATGCAAAAAATAAGGCAATTCCATTTATAAATGCTATAGGGTTTCTATAATACCCATATTTACAACTCCATAATCTAAATATAGAAATTATTCTTACCCATATGATACTATTGAAATAACCTGATGGATGCAAAATATTACATCTGCTGCAATCAAAATACTATAGATTTAATCATCTTTCAGACTAAGCCCAAATCCACTTTCTTCATTATTATAAGGTTTAATTATCAAAATGATTATACAAAATGATGTCTAATTATAGTTTGTAAATTATACAAATATATACACAGCATATTAAAAAACACGAGATTCATTTATTAAAATGCAATATTGTCTCAATTTGTTATTCATTCCAAAATAATCCAAAGAAAATTAGCAATAATAAGAATTTTCATTTTTTAAAAACTGTTCATCAACATTTTCTAAAAAGTTCAAACGTATATTTGTTTAAGATGGATTTGGTGAAAATATCCCTTATTCTTAGCTTAATCTATTCATATCATTTGCTGCTTATAATTCCTTATGACTTACTATTTTCTTTGATATTTTACTTGTTATTATAATGCTTTTAAAAGGAAGATGGTAAAATGTCTTAGACTGAAGATAAAATATCCTTTCCATAATCTCGCTCTAAGCTAAACTTTCGTTACTTTCTGAAGCAATTTAAAAAAGACTAAAGCATATAAAAATATATAAATTTAGTATTATTCTCAAGAGTATTCATCAAATCCATCTCTTTCTTAATGTGTTTTAAGTAGAATTATTAGATTGTAAAGATCCCCCAATCTTAGATATTCTATTTTCACCTAAAGTTTTTAAATACTCTGATAAATGTCCAGGAATCCAAATTTCTTTTACTTCTAAACAAGATTTAGAAATATCTGGATGCAACATTTTTCTTATTTCTGATTTGCTAGGTGGTTTTAATGTTTAGGTTTTTTATATTATTTAAGGTTCATTGAAAATATCATCTTCACTACCTCTTTATGATTTTTAATATGCATCATCAACACTTATCTTTCTTTAATTCTATATGCCTTATTAATATTTAATCCTTCTTTTCCCAACCGCATTTATTTCTACTGGTTTTATAGGTACATTTTTATTTAATGTAAATCCCACATGAGCAATGCTACTTCTCCTTTTTATATTATGTTGCATTTATTCTAATTTTTATTCCTCTAATGCATATGTTATTTTTTATTGACTATGAGATGTTATTCCATTCTTCCCTCTTATTTGCATCAATTCCAGAGTTGTTTTTTTTTGGCTTTAATGATTATTGTTTCTCAAAAGATCTAAAATTGAAGAGCTTTTATTATTAACTTGGTGATAATTCTCAATTGAATCAAAAGGTTTTGAGGAACTTAATGATATTAAAGGTTGTTTTACTTTGATACTTTGATATTGTACATAGCATATTAAACAAAATTTTTAAGTAAAGTGCTTGTAAATGGATATTTTGTGTCAATTTCAAACATACAAGCTAATGCTCTTGGATATTCAATGATTGATGGTCCTTCATCACTTTCAGCAAGACAAATAAATTTTTTTTCTGAATTATTGAATTAGAAATTATGAACATCCCATCTATTCAACAAGGGTGCCAAAAATCTCGATTCTATATCTCTAAATGCCTTTATAGATTAAAATTAGATAATACCCAATGCTATATATAAACATTTCTTATAGAAACCACAGTTTCAGTGTTTTTATTTTTACTTATAAATGACCCCATTTATTTTGGTTTATAAATAGGGGCTTTTACAATATATTTTCCTATTGATTAAAATTCTTGGGCCGCACTCCTTAAATGGATACCTACATTTAGTTTTGGAATCCATTCAGAGGTTTCATAATTAAAAACATATAAATCTCCTGAAGTATTTTCCAAAAACATATCGCTTTGTTGAATTTGGATTTTTAGTTCTCTTAAATCTGATAATTTACCTCCATTCTGATTGATTAGGTTTATTTGCTTGTATAATATAAAGGGATTACTCTTTCAATATTCGATGCTGATAAATATACTAAGGCCTACATGGCAAATCCTGAAGCAAATAACAACTTCTATACTCTTAGACACATTCTCAACAAAACTAATATTTTTGCTAACTGTAATCCTCTTATTCATACCCATATGAACAGCCCAAGGTCTTGTATGACAATCTCCTATAACAAATATCACATCAAGTTAATCAAATTTGAGTGCTGCCTCCTTTTTCACGTAAGAACTTTCTACTTCATAAAGGAAATCTTCTATTGTATCTCTATTTCGAACATAAAATTCATTTTCTGTATCTATTAACTCTTTCTATTCTGCTAAATACTATTTTAGTTTATTATATTACTTTCATAACATGAAATTGGAAATGTTAAAATTTTTCAAGGTCTTTGTTATCATAGCAATTAATTATTAAAATTCGCATTATAAAAAAATAATAAGTATAATGATTTGGCTTGATAAAGGTTGATTTTGTAGTAGATTTTCCTTCTATTTTAAAAATAATTGAATAAATAATAGGATAATTTTTTGGATTAATTTGAAAACTGTAAATATGGATCCTTAAAGTAAAAAAGTAATTATAAAATTATCAAATAATAATTAAATATTCATGATTTTTCGTGTATGCCAAGTATTCCTTTGACAGTGATTTTATTTTTGTTAATAGTTTAAAGTCCAATTCTGGTTTCTCCAGGTTTGGAAATACCCACGACAAATTTGTGAGTTTCAATTTTATTAGAGAAATAATCATTCTCAAATTGACTCTAGCTCTTGTCTTATAAATCGGTATCCATAATGACACATTCATCTTGATTTGAATTTTGGGAATTTTAATTTAAGTAATCAATATTCATAAAAATTATTTATTGCTGAACTTTAATTAATTTATGATGTCATTTTGGAAAGAAATCATAGAATTTTGTTAATTTATTAAAAACACAGAATAAATAATTAAGTATTAAAAGTATTCTGAAATAATCAAAATTTCATATTTTTTTTAAAAGGTTTTTCTGGAGACACAAAACCTGTTTCAAAAAATGTTCCTGATTGTTAGTCTTTTTGCCATCTGTAAACTGGTATGTCCTCTTTTTTACTATTACCATCATCTGAACATTTTGTATTTTAATGGATATTTTCTGGTTTAGCCTATTCATTTGATAAAACTTGTTATGCAATATCTTCTTATAGAAATTCATTACAGTCTTGATCAAAACTAAAAAGATAATAAATTGAAAGAATTACTATTAATTATTTATAGTTTTTTAATCGAAAGAAGAATCTTATTCATCTAAATCTCCTTCAGTAAATTGATTCTATTTAATAGCTAATTTTTTAATTAATTTTTTAGAGAATGCTTCCCATGCTTTATACAAGATTAAAACAGTCAAATAATCATGTAAAATATTAAAATTAGCTTTTAAGTGTAGGATGGGACTAATATTGCTTCTCTATAGAAATCTATTCCTTCTATAATACATCAATCTGAGTTGCATTTCTTTATTAAATTATTTAATTTTCTTGATAGATGAAGTTGAGCCATTTTTAAATACTTCTACATGATAGCAAACTCTAAATAATTCATACATTAGTTAATTATATTAGATATATCCAAAATGATCACTATCAGATATTTAATAAATATTACCATTATAATTTGAATGATGATGCTAATTTACCAACATCCCAGAGATTTTCATCTCTTCCTCCTCCTAAAGGTTTACCAATATCCATTAAAAAACGACACAAAAATTTATAATGCATAGCTTGTCCTTATGTTTCAGAGGAATATTTACACCAAATAGTTTTGATTTAATCAACATTTTCTACATAAGTTTAAATCATAGAATTTTAGAGCATAAAGAATTACTCAAATTATTCAACTAATCCCAAAACAAATAAATTTAATAGAACATAATTTGAGAGTAACATAAAGAGAAAGAAATAAATTTAGTTATAAATGCTTCCACAATAAATTTCATCTTCAATACAATAAGGATTATAGAACATAGTATCAGTCATTATAGTTCTCCAATCATCACCTGATGCACATTTAAAAAGGGATAGCATAGCTTAGGCAACATTTTAAAAGTTGATTTGATCATCCATTACTTATCCTTTTTCTAATTATCCATACATATGACATCCGAAAAGTGCAAAAATATACATTGTTATTATTAACAAAGCAAAGATTTTACCTAAAAAAGGCATAGCAAAGACCATGACTCTCATTAATCTCTATAGATTAATCAAACCTTAAAAAATCAAAATTATTCTTAAACATCTTAGAGCAAAGAATAATCTTAGAAATTGATATCCTGCATCAGCTGGAGAAGATCTAAAATATGCTAAAGCCCAATCTGATTCATAATCAGCGATTATATCAATAATAGCTATGGTAATCAAAAAAAAATAAAATCTTCTCCAATGATTATCAAAAAATCTATTAACGCCTAAAGATAAAAATAGAAATATATTCCAAAGTATATAAATATAAGTTAAACTATTATGAGTATTATTTAAAACTCTAAAGAAATCATCATTCATATCAGAAAAGAATAGCAATAGCACCAATAAATCAAAAAGTAATAAACAAAACATTATTTTTTGAACTGTTTTGTTATTAGTTAAATCAGATGCGAATCTTCTGATTGTTGATGTTGGAGGTGAAGAATATAAAGGAAAATCTTTGATAATTATTTGTGAGATTTCCATAAATTCAACTTATGCTTTTGTGATATCAGACATTTCTATTTTACTTTAATTAGCTTTTAAGTTTGAGTATAGAACTCCTGTGAATAAACTCAAAAAGAACATTGACCCTATAAAGCAAAATGAAATAAAAAAGAAATATGTATGAATATAACTATTGAAAGCTTCAGGTCCAATGTTAGGATTTTAACTGTTTTCTGATATTTACATTATTTCTCCCCATCCATCAAAAGTTGATACTACAAATAATGTTGGAATAGCTATTGTAATATTATCGAAATTATGTTTATAATTAATCCAAGTTCTATTCATATCTAAACATTCTTTCTTATTTATATTAAATTCCATTTTATCCTCACAGAATCCAAATTATTATTCATATAGTATTATTCCATAAACTCCAAATATAATCCAAACTGAAAGCATTGTGATCAAAACATTCCATATATCTGCTAAAGATCTACCTAATGCCAATCTCAATGTGTCTAACCAAGATATTCTATACATTAATTTCATAACTCTTAGATATCCAAAATATAAAAAGAAATTAACTACTGCTCTTTACTCTTGATCCTATAAAAAATGTATAAAGAATGCCACTATATATATTACATCTACTATTTGCCATGTGTATGTAATATGTGCTCCTTTATTCATCCACATCCCTTTCGCAATACTGCCAATTATTATTTCAAACAAAAAGAAAATATTTGCTATCAATTGCAACACTTCTGGATAAAAAGATGAATCAATCTCATAATCATTATAAGTTTTCAATGCAAATACTACTATTGAAAAATATAACACTATATCCATAAAGTAATTGAAAATTTTTGATGTTACTATTCTACAACAAATTATTCTCAAAATGTTATCTTTATTAAATAAATATAAAGATTATTAACATTAGATTCCATCGTATAAATTAGGATATTTACTTAATATATCTCTATGTACTTGTCCTATTTTATGATATATAGATAATTACTGATTGATTTCATAAGATTTGATATTAAATGCTATTTAGATTTCTTCTATTAATGTTCATTAAAATTTATTTAAGACATCAAAGGTTTTAAATTCAATTGAAATTCATGCATTTCTTATTATTCAGTTATTTATGAATTTTACTCTTCTTATTTCTCATTGTTCTTATCTTCCTCTTAATCTTTTTCTCCTTCTAACTCTTACATTTCCTTATTTATTGCTCCAAATCCATCCAATAATATAGCCAATACCAAACCATATGTTATATAATTCAAAAAAATAACCATCGAATATGAATATATTACAGCAAATATGTAATTGATATTTCCTCCCAAAACATATACTCCATACCAATCATCATTTGTCAGAATATTAAATATTGTCATAAAAGCCTTAAAAATATTATCATATGAATGTAATTATCCTAAAGCCTCCGTTTAATCAAAATAACCAGCATACATTTCCATACCAATCATTGCATACACAAATATCACCAAAAAAAATAAAAATGTTAAATATATATATTATCTAAATGTTCTCTAAGCTATATGTCCTATTGCTACTGCCATCTTATTATATTTTAATACTCGATAAAATAACAAACATTTAGTTCCTCTTATCAATCTTAAATTTTATTCATTTAAATTTGTCATCACTGAACTCATTGTTAACTCTATGAAATTCAAAACCACAATACAAGATTAAAGAACATAATCAGGACTTTAGGATATGTCTTTAAATGAAAATGCAAAAAATCTTAATACTAATTCTATACATAAAAATATTGTTGAAACATCCTCTTCATTTGAAATTGTAACTGAATTTGCTATTCCTTACAATGATAAAAATGTAAAATTTATTAAAATTACGCTATCAAAAAATAATTAACTTATTTAAGATGTAATTAAAAGATATGAATATTTACGTAATGTTTCAATTTTACCCTAAAATCCAAGCATCCATATTTAGATATCAATAAAATTTAATCTTTTTAACATATCTTTAAAGTTTAACAATCTTAATTCATTTAATTTTAAAACATCATTTCCTGACCAAGTTTTTTTAGAAATTTAATTCTATTATAAATCTTTTCTTCTTAACAATCTATATTAGAATTCATTTGATGATTGTTAATTTTTATTTTTTTAAATTTTAGCATTAATTTTAGTAGAAACCCCTTCATAATTTAAGTAATATCCTTAAATATAAATATAATTTTAATCTTATTTTTTTATAGCAAATGGAACTTTATTGTCTCCTTATGAAGTTTTAAGTTTGTGTGATTATGCAATACTCTATTTTTAATAGAAGAGATTTTGATCAACAGAATTATTAGTTTCATTTTATTCATCTTCAGTTTAATTCAAAATAATTCTTTTAACTTTACGAACAGGAAAAGGATTAAGTTTTTTATGGTCATGTACGATTTATAAAATCTTTTTTTATTTGATATCTGGATAAACAACTGGAATTTTTACACTTCTCATATTAATAATTTCTTTTTCTAATTCTTTTTTTTCACAATCAGGTAAACTATTTATTTAAATATTATAATTACTTTAGAGTTGGTAAAACATCTCCTTCACTTTCAAAATTTTATTGTATTTATTAATTGACACAAGATTATAATTATGAAAATTAAAAAGATTTCAATCTTTCTAAAATCTATAATTCAATTTCATCTTCAGTATATTTTTTAATATGAACATTTTTTTATTTCTCACTAAGTATTAAGAATTTAGGTAAAAGAACATTTTTCACAGTAAAATTTTAGATCTTATAAATAATTCTTTTAAAAAAGCCAGCAGCCTATAAAATAAGATGAATAATATAATTACATGTGAATTATACTCTTCATTCTTTTTTTGTTTAGCTGATAATATTCTAGTTTTATTTGAAATTCCTTTATCATTTTGATTATCTTCTAATTTAATAGATCTATATGAAGACTTTAATGCTTATCTATATCTTTGAATAACTGAAAAAAAATCAATATATCTTAAAAAAGCAACATCAAAAACATTGATAATATCTCTTTCAGGTAATTCTCTATTTTCTTTAATCTTCTATTAAATTAACTTCATTTCTTCATCTTTTGCATTTTCTTCTGTAGCTTCAGCATAATGAATTTTAATAACAGCTATAACTAAATTAAACCCAAAAAAACCACAAACAAAAATAATTAATAAATAATAAAGCCAAGTCCAAGGATGATATATTCTCATAGTAAAAAACATTACCCAACTCCAATCATCCATAGTTATAGTTCTCAATACTTGACCATAAGAATAAATTACATTGTTAAAAGAAGTTGGAAGTTTAGGAGTGAAAGATGAAAATTAACAAGACATTCCTTCTTCAAAACATTAATTTTAATTACATTATATCCAACCATCTGTTTCATCCCCATTATCATATTAACATCTATAATTAAATAAACCTTAAAACATAAATACTCCAGTAATTGCAAAAAATACTGAAAATAATCCTACTATCATTAATGCCTCTAATAAAAATCTAAATGACTATTTCAAAGCCTTTAACATCACTCCCAAACCAGAAAATATATCTCCTAAATAAAGTAACAATGTTATAACTCTTAATGGAGATATATCCACTATAAATATATCAGGATATGTTATATTTAATACATAAACTACCACCAATATACAATCAAATATATCTTAGAAATTCTTAAAAAATGCTCCTTTTGGAATTATAACTCCTGATGCTATTATTCTTATTCCTAATTCAATTAAAAAACAAATCATTATTCCCCTCTCCATATTTTTAGTGGACATAGGATCCTAATAGGTTTATGAATATATGTATAATGTAACATTAAAAATAATTAGAAATGACATGATTATTTTAAATAGAACACTTCTAATTATTCTTTTGCATAAAATTGGAATAAACAAAGAATAATAAACTATTTATTTTCTTAATTTCAAAAATTATTTATCATCATTATATGCCTATTTATATGATTTAAAAAATTTACATTAATTTCATATTGTAATCTTTCAAAACCATGAAGGTCTTTTAATTTAACATAGTAAGGATCTTCAAATGGATTTCTTTCATATAGTTTTTCATATTTTTTTTTAATTTTATCAACATCCTATTAATTATCAGTATAATCATCATCATCACTATCACTTATCTATTATTTGCCTTTAGTATGAGTTTATTATAATTTTGATTAAAACGCCCCTTTTTTACTTCTATGAGACATTTTTAATGATCTATGTGAAGACATTCCTTCACTTGCTTAAGAAAGTAGCATTTAATCTCCTCCACATTATTTTAAAATATTTATATCTTATTTCATTCCCCATCTATGTTCAAAATCAATAAACTAAATTTTCAAAATCGACCTTTCAATTCCATCCGATATATCCAATGGATTTATAAAGTCTTAATCAAATGACATGTTTGGTAAAATTAATTTATCCTACACTTAATAAAAGGATGATTAAGCTTATTATACTATTCCAATATTATCCTTTAAAATTATTGATTAATCTATTGGTTCCTTATTTGATTCTGAATCACTAGAGAATGATGATGATCCTGGAGATAAATCTTTGTTCATTGATATGTTCACTTTATTTTATTTGCTCTTTATAGATGAAACTGAATGTCTGCTTCCCAACATTCTAATTTTACTCTCTTCTGAAGAGAATAAATTAGAGTTACTCATTTTTCTATTTGCTATTTCTCTTGAAATTGAGAAACGTTTTCTTGAACTTCTAGCTACTTCAGGTTGCTTTCTATCATTCATTTTCTACATTTCCTATAAATAATATATTAATCATATTTAAAGTTAGGTTTTTAAACAATAAATTCAAGTTTACAATCTTAAACCTACTCTATACAAAAATTTAGATCAACATTATCTAAATTATAAATCAAAATGTCATTCTCAAACTAATATATATAACTGAATTTTCAATTAAAAATTAAAATATATCATTTTACAGCTCAACGATTATCAATATAATTGATCAACCAAAGATCATATATCATTTTTTTAATTTATTTTATTCTGGCAACTCTGTTCCTTACTGTTAACAACTTTCATTAACCTTTTAATCTAAATTATTTTTTTATTATAAATACTCTTTTATTCTTAAATCTTTTTAACAGAATTTTTAGTATCTCTCAAATTTGGCTTTTTAAGTAGAAGAGCTTTATTTTCACTATTTTAAAGTGTAGATAACCGATTAGGAGTAGCCTTAGAATAAATATATTCCTGTTTTTTAGGTTATAATTACCTTACTTCTTTTTAGGGGTTTCTTTTTATTTTTAGGTAAAGAGTCTTCTCTATTTTTAGAATATTAATTACTCTTCAATTCTACTAAAATCTTCGCTTTCACTATTCTATCAGATCTTAAAGTTTTGCTTGCTTAAGTAAATACATTTCATTTATATTCAATTATTAATATGTATTTCTTCTTTATTTTTCTACATAAAATGCTTATTTTTTTAATTAATTTTATTTCTTCTAATCATTATTTTAAAGTTCTAAAACCCTTGATTCATCTTTTTCTATAAAAAAATTAAGAATTTCTTTTTTATTAATAAAATTAATTTATTTAGGAATTTCAAATTTCACTAAACAGACAGTCTTGAATATGTTTTAATCTGTATTTAATGTTCTAAATTTTAAACTACTTCTGTACTAATTTTTATGAAATTTAGTTATCCTTCATGTTTAATATTTTTTTTTTACTATTTATATGAATTAAAACTATCCAAGAATCAACTTTTATCAATACAAGATATCAGTACTTCTCAATAACCTAAAACTTTCAATTTTTCTAATTCTTATGATGTTTATTTTCATTTTCTTCAAAACCAATCCTGCAATTAGCAAAATTAGTGCAAATTACTAACTTAAATTAAATTGTTGCATTATATTTCATTGTCTTTTCTTTAGATTAATTTTACATTTTATGGGTATTTCCTTTTCAAATTAGGTTTAGTTTATATATTCATAAAATTTCAACTAATTTATTTATTTTTTTACTTAAAAATGCCATTCATGTAAATGATTGATTTTATCAAATTCTCCACATAAGTTCAAAATCAAAATTCTGAACTCCAATCATCTTTTTTTAATTTGATTTTGTATATTATACAAGTAAATAGTATTCAGAGATATTTTCTAGGAGAAATGGAACTGCATCTTCGCTTATATTAATAATAAATAAACTAAAAAGTAAATCTTTCTGAAAAACTTCTGAATATTTACATTACTCTTCCTCTCAGAATTGAATGTATGATTCATCACATAAAATTACTGTAAAAATGTCAATTCAATTTGTTTAAAATACCCTTATATAAAATAAATTCAATTGAGTCTACAGTATTCAAAGACTTTAAAATTACTATTTAAAAATCACCTTGACGAATTACTAAATAGTCTTAATTTCTATTGCTTAATATTGCAAATCTTTTGCCTAATCCTGTTTATCCATACATAATCACAGTGCCATTAATATCATATAAAGATTGCATAATAAATTATTAAACTGATTTTGAAAATAAGTAATAATAATTATTAGCTTGCTATTCATAACAATTATTTAATTCATAAATCAAACTATTGGCTACTTTTATTTTAACCAATCAATTCCTTTAAACAAATTTATTTAGTTAAATTTTTGAATCATTGTCATCCAAAGCTACTATTTAATTCTCATTTATTTCATTTTAATTGAGTAATTCTTAAATACATACTTAGTTTTTTCATACTTCTAGTTAATTAAAATTATATTACATCAGAAATGCCTCCTTTTATATTATCAAAATTATTATAATTTCAATTCCAAATATTATAAAAAACATATATTAAAAAGCAATAAATTATAAATCTAATATAAATTTATTGTTGTCTATGTTTTTTAAACTAAATTTAGATTTACTCTATGAATCTTAAATAGTTCCTAAAAATTATGGAAATTTAAAATTTATAAAACTCAAGAGAATCACAGAAGAAATCAAAGCTATCAATTAACACCTACAATTATCTATCTATAATTGTCAATTATGTTTGTAAATTGGATAAAACAAATTTATTAAGGCAAGCATCATTCAATTTTCTTAGTAATTCTTGAAGGTTTTAGGCTTATAAGTTTTTAGACAAATAATGGATCAGAAAAATGTATTCTTATAAGCCTATAAAATAATTAAATTTACATTTAAATCAATTTAAATATAAAATACATCATCCAATATATATATTACTGTATTCATTCTAAATTCAAATATTTGAAATAATTTAGAATTCATTAATGATTATTTATTGAATATTACAAAAAAGAGAACTTTTTATTGTTTTAATACTTGACCTTAATTATACTAAAAATAATTCACAAATAGATTCTTATAGCTATATAATATATCCATGAAATTGGATTTTTGTGTGGAAGAAACAAAATCTGAAAATATTTATTTAATCTCAGACTAAATTGAGCAAAATTTAATTTTTTGTTAAAAAAAAGAATTTGTGTGGAACTATGGATTAAATTTCTTAAGAATTTTCTTTTGTTTGAATAATAAAAGTTACCAAATATTTTGTTATAATTAACATTATTATGGTGAAAAATACATATAGAATTGTGTAATAATACTGTTTTAATTGTGGATGTTAATTGAAATAAATAAAAAGTTAGAATTTATAGAGAACAAATTGTGTTCTAGTTAAAGATCTTAAATTTATAGATTTCATTTAAAAAGGTCTTTAAGAAAGACTATAATTAAGAGTAAATCTATGATAATTACTTTAGCATCTTTTTTACAATTTTGATTTTTATTTAATAATATTTTATTTAATAGTATATGGAGACAAGTACATTTAGGTAAAGAGAATCAAACTCAAAATAGAGTAATTTAGAAAACATTGAAAATCAATATAACAAAGTAATTATTAGATTTATGTTTAGAATTTGATCATGCTTACAACTTAAGTTGAACGACTTACATTAGCTTTGAAGAAGAAAACTAATGAAGTTGAAATGCTATAAAATTAAATTGACACATAGAAATCAACGTAAATTCCATTAGAAATGGAAGAATTGATTACAGTACAAAATATTTAAATTTTAGACAGTTGAGGAATAAACTAAAGAAATAGAAAAATGGGCATAAAAATATTAAACTATGTAATAGTAGAATCAGCAATTACAACAGAGGAATAAGGAATTAGATCAAATTGTCTAATTACTTAAAAATCAATCTCAACAAGAATTAAGATCAAATGAAAGTTTATTTTTTTTCTATTTTATTAGGTCTTTCATCTAAACGATTTTATTAATCAGAAATAAGTAGAAAAGAAAATAAATATGAAACGAATGAAACAAATATAAATTCTTAATCAAAATTATTATCCAAATAAGATGAGATAAATCATTTGAGATTATAATTAGGATAATTAAAATAAGAACTCTTGGAAGAAAAATAAATTCATAGAGAATTACTAGAAGCTGAAGAAACTAGAGTTAGAGATTAAGAAAGAAAGAATTTTAACTAATATAAATTAGAAACTAAAGAATAATTAATTTTATATAAGAATCAGATTTAAGCTCTATAAGATATGTTAGATAATAAATAGTAAGTGTTAAAATAAGATAATTTTGAAGAAAAGAATCGAGAACTTAATTTATAAATTTTAGAAAAGAATAAAAAAATAGAATTACTGGAAACAATTATCTCATAAAAGGATTCTTAAATTTATTAATTGTAATAACAATTAGAGAAATATTAAAAAGAATAAGTTCAATTAATAAAATAATAATAATCATAAAAATAACTTACCCTTCCCTCATAATCTTCTACTTATAGAATAAGTTCAACTTAACATTCATCTTTTGACAATAATTATGCTTCTTTGGTAAATTTAAATAAGACTAATTCTATTTAAGATTAGATTAATTAAACCATGGCTTAAATCAATAGATCTATTTAATAGGTTGATCAACTTAAATAAACAAACATTGTCAATCAAAAATTATTTTAGGAATAATTTAATAACAATAATGTTTAAAGCTCCTTAAGAAATTCATAAATACCATAAACTCAATCAAATTTAACATTATAAGATAAAATTAAAGCTCTATCCTCAATAACTCAATAGTAAACTACTTAAAATTATAAATATATATGAATTTAATAATATTTGAATTATATACAATATTTAAGATATTCATTTGAATAGTAATAATAGTCTGTTTATTATTATTCTATAACTTCTTGATATAAACTTGACTTCAAAATAATCGTTTAATGAAATAAATCAGAATTAATTAATTTCATTATCAATTTAATCAAAATTAAAAATTGAGCAAAGAAAGGCTTTCCTATTAGAATGACAAGGAATACTATTTAAGAGTAAATTTACAATAATTAAAATAATAATGATTCTATTTAAAAACCTTTTGTAGATAAATATAAGTAAATATTTGAAAATTCTATATAGAAGAAATAAAATATCAAATTAAATAGTGAAATGACCAAATTTTTTGATGTTGAATTACCTAATTTGAATAATATGAGTATAGCATTTTTAATAGAAGAATTAAATAAATGATTGTTTTATATGAGTTATTTTTAGCATATATATAATATTTTTAATTGTTAATTTCTAAATCTAATTAAAATAAAAAAAGAGAAGTTTGATGAACTTATATAATATGTTGAATTTATTATTCTCGATTGTCTTTCATTAAGAATTCTTATAAAAATGGAAAAATTATTTTCACTCTGAAGTTCAGCAAATTCCGTTCTTAGTAATAACTGAACTCATCAAATAAAATAACATTTATTTTTTAGATTCCCTGCAGTTACCAATGTATTCATTTAGATTGTTTCTTACAGAGGAAATTTCTTTTTACTTTTTCTCATGAAATCTTGTAGTTTTATAAACATTTGACATATATATTAAGGTTAAGGAGAAAGTGAATTTTTCAATAATTAAATTACATGAATAGTATAAGTACTTGTTTGTTACTTTTGAATGTTGAAAGTAATTAAGAAAGCACGTGTACTAAAGATGAGCTTAATGATTCTATAGATTTGTATATGGATTCTAAGATTAAGGAAATTGAAATAGGGATTGTAAAGTACTTGCATAGTATGGGAATATAAACAAAAACAGATCCTAAATAGAAGGAATAACAATATTGGAATTTGAGAAGAATTGAAAGCAACAAGAAATTAGAAGAACATTGGAGTTGTCCAAAGTTATCATTAAATTCTTCTGTTAGTAGGTTGTTAATCAGTAGACAATCTTCAGTCATCTAGTATTTTAATAAAAGTGGAAGCTCTCTATAAACATTACTTACTTCCTGATTTAAAGAACAATAGAAGTTGAGTTAATTAAATGTTTTTTATCAATTATGTTTTATTGATAATTTAGTTTAAATTTTTAGATCTTAAATATCTAAATATATACATATATTATAAAACAATTTAATTGGAAAAGATAGTAAATAAATTGTTTCATTAAATTTTTATTAATATAATTTTTTATAAAAATATATTATAAATCCAATAGATTTTTGAATAAATTGATATTTGAAATTGAGGTAGAGAATATTGAAAATAATAGGGAAAATTGAAAATAGAAAATTGTATGAATAAAGAAAGAAGATAAAGTTAATAATAAAATGATTGGATTTGAAATATGATATATAGTATCAAAATAGAATTCAACGATTAATACAACCTAGTGATATAAGTATTCTTTTAAAGAGATTTTATTATGGTTATTCAGAAACTTGTTAAGGTTGATGGAATACAAAATGTTGGGATCTTTATTTCATGTCTTCCCATTCTTTATAAGTAGTTTTACGTTCAGACATTACAGTTTATAAAGATTATAAAGGAGATTAATTTGATTCATCAATTAATAATGAGACACTTCTATATGTTAAATTTTCATTGAGAGGTAGTGGTTATTTTATTTTCGATCGCATCCATCGATGATTTAGAATAGTTTATATACTAGGTCTATTAAAAGGGTTTTGCTGGAGAATCATGGTAATAAGAGATTTGCATTCTTCTGACACATACTCATCATATTTAAGAGGACATCCAGAAAGAATAGCAGTACATTTTTCTTAATCATTCCTTCCATTAAAAGGTGGTTTACCTTGTACCATTTCATAAAGTAAGACACCCAAACACCATATATCGAGTTTATAGTTAGTGCTTTGAGATTTAATCATTTCAGGTGCCATATATTCGATTGTACCACAAAAAGCTTTTTTAAGATTACCCATTTCAGTGGACCAACCAAAATCACAGATTTTAATATTTCCTTTATTATCAAGCAAGAGATTTTCAGGCTAGAGATATAGAATCATAAATAACCTTAATATCTCTATGAATAATCTTCTATTTATGAAGATAATCAATTCCAAGACATGTTTAATAAAGATAATGAGAAGCTTCATCTTCAGATAGATAACGCTATTTTTTAATTTATTTAAACAAAGAACCACCTTCTGCATATTCAAGTACCAAATATACATTGGTCTAAGAGTATAAATTTATTTTATACTTTATCTTCAAAGTAACTATCTAATTTGATTATGTTTGGATGATTTAATTTACGTTAAATTTTGATTTCTCTCTTAAGATTATCCACAGTACAATATTTAAATAGTTCTGCCTTTTTCATCTACATACTATAACAAATATAATCAATACAGCTTTCATAGCTAACAATTTTCCTGTTGATATTTCTTTAACTAAAGTAACCCATCCAAATGAACCTTATCCTAATGTTTATTACATTGCTTAAAAATCACTAATAATTATTAAATATTTGTACTTTGAGCATTTCTTATGAATTGTGCTTGAAGATGCTTTACTACTAGATGCTGGTCTATTTGAACTAATTTAAAATTTAATAGATTTACCAATTTGATTCATGTTTGTTTGCTGATATATTAAGTTTTAAACTCTTACATTCACGAGTAGTTTCTGAATAAGTTTTATTGGAATTCATTAATATAATTAAAAATATTATCAAAATTGAATTTTAGTCTAAAAACCAAAGTAACACAATACGATCTAGGCTACTATCAATTAGGCAAACAAGAATTCCCACAATTGTTCATGTAAAAAATCATAAACACTATAAGCCATAAACATTCCTCCAAGATGACGACACGCTTATGATAATCCTAATATCATCGTACGGTAATCCTTAGATTATCGACCAAGTTACTGAATGGATATCGGTTGAAATATTGTAATGGAATACTCCTTGCATTAAACTGGCTATCAATAACATCCAATCTGATTTAATGTAAATGTAGCTCATCTTCAACATTTAACTTATTATGCAAATTGATTCTAAAAATATTTATAAATTTACATGAAATTTAATAAACTTATTTCTAAGTATATAATCCAATCATGAATTAATAGAAAGGTTTACTAAATGCTCCAAAAATAGATAATAGCATAATATCAATATATTTATTGCTATTATCAGAGTTGAAATATTTAATATATGTTAAATTGCTTAAATTCTTTTATATTATTACCTATAAAATAAAAAACCTTATAAGGTTTAACAAATAAAGTATTTATAAATTTATTCATTTATTTTTGATAATTTCGTAAATAATTTTCTCATTGTTGGTCTATGTACTTTAATTTAAAACGTTTGAATTATAGAAATCTATTCATTAGAATTTTTACTAGTTTATTATTTAATTATAATCATACTATTCTTCATAATTTAAGATTTAACTATTTTCAGCACATTTTTCTATATATTTAACATAAACATCAAATTCATTGTCCAAACATTCCTCCATCAAAGGAGGCAGACGAGAAGATTACTTCAAAAATATTATCAATAGACAAATCTCAGTTACACAAATTACTCGAAATATTGAATATTCAAATCTATTACAAAATATTCCAATCAAACTGAAAATTATAGTTATCAAGTATCCTACATTAATGGATATTTTTATTAATTAAAATCTTATCATTTGAAGTACTTAATTCATATATCCATTAATCAAAGATTTTATAATAAAAATAACTAATACAATTATTTCTTGATGCATCTCAATAAATAATATGCAAATTAAAATGATTTACATAATTGAACAATAAAATTAACAGTGTTATACATATTTATTTATAGCTATTAATTGACCTATTGTATAACATGCAAAATATATTAAAAGTATTAATGGATTATCATAAGCAAACATAGCTATGCAACTATCAAATATATGAATTATGTGTCCAAAACCTATTTGAATTTCCATTATTTATACATATCGTAAAGAATAATTTACGTTAGAAATCACTTTATCTAACTGCATTGATTTGATCTTATAAATTTGATAAGTGAATTGAAGCTGTTAATTTATCCTCCAATTCAATTATCATCTATAATTTTAATATAATTATATTTATATATATTAAATTTAACTACAATATTGCTATCAATATTTTAAATTTATATGATTCTAAAATATCATGTAACTTGATTGTTATTAGATTTAGGTGAAAATAATCTATTGACAATCTTTTTTTAAGGTGTTCTTTCTAAAAAAGGCTTTCCTCCTCTTGATTATGGTGATTAGATTTAAGGTAATTAATGATATTGATTATTCTATTTAATATTATTAATTTGTTGATCATTCTATTTAATATTATTAATTTTGAAAGCGAATAATTGTTTATTTTATTATCCTTAAGTATCTCTAAGTATGTATTAAGCAGTTTTTGATTGTCTTGAAACATCATCATTAGGTAAATTAATAAATTCATTAAAAGGAGTAATTGTTTATTAGGAAGAATTAGTTCTTAAAGCACTTTCTTATTATTTTAATTATCCAATTGATCCATATCCTATATATTAATTGACATTAATTTTTTAAGCTTAAGGTGTCATTCTTGGAAGAAAGTTTGTTGAATTAGATTTATCCATTTATTCAGAATTGAATTTAGATGATTTACTATCTAATAAAGATTTTTAATAGGAAGGATATTCTGGTTTAACATATTATCCAGTTTGTTTTTTTGAAAGTTGTTTTTAATTAGGTTGTAGATCTGACATACTAATGTTAAATTAATTTCCAGATGTCTTTGGATTCTAAAAGAATTTATCTTTTTCACTTGATTAAATATTTGGAGCAACAGAGTTATTTTAAGTAATTATTATATGCTCTGTTGAACATTTAGGTAAAGGTGGAGATAAAGGTTTTACTTATGGAACATTCATTAATTTTGGTGGAGAACTAGTTAGGCAGCACTTTATACCCAAATTTGTGCATAACAGGGGTTATGTATAGATTCTATAAATTTTATTATGGCGATTTAGTTATTCCCTCTTCTTTTATTGTTTATGAATTTGTTTTTTCATTAACTTATTTATTTAATACATTCTTTCTTCCATCATAGTTTAGTTTTATAGCTTATTATTTTGGACTTTTCATTGGAACTCTTTGTAATTCCTTTTATTAAAATTTTATAGATTAACCCAACTAATTCTTTTATGGATTAAAGAATTAAGCTGTTTGCTTCATCTCTTAATATTAATGATTCTCATCAAATTAAGATGAATCTAAGTGTTTAATCATTTGCTTTAAAAAATTATTATTATTAAATCAATAACTATTATTATTAAAAAGAATTTCCTTTTTCAAATTCAACACAATTTCTTCATTAATTAAACTTTATTTTACTGAATACTTTTTTTATTCATGCTTGTAGACCTTATTCTTGAATACTTATTTTTTTATTATTTGAATTTTTTATTAAATATATTTTTTTCTTCAATTGAGTTTTATTTTAATCTTTTACATGTCCATTAAAATAAATAATTTTAAATCACATTAATCCTTATTTCTAATTGAATATTAAGATTATAAATAATTAAAAGATAAATAGAATGTAATCAATAAAATAATATTAATTTAATATCTACAATTCACATACTATAATTTAAAATCGTAATATATAAAACCACACAAACAATTCTTAATCATGATCCAACTTTAAGTAGAATATATTAAAATTGTTATAACATTTAACTCATAATCTCCTAAATTTATTGTATATTAATATCATTTGATGTTACTTTTATTTACAACTCTGATATTTAAGCTATCATTCTTTTTGTAAATTAATCCATTCCTACCATTGGTTTTATTTAAACTTACTAATTCTAAGTTAACACCTATAAATCATTTCTTAAATTCATAATTAACTCTTCTATATTTTATAATCTATCATCTGATTAAATATTTTATTATTATTATTATTATTATTATTATTATTATTATTATTATTCTGATGCTTATTTAATTTCTATCTTTGCATCTTCATATTATTTAGCCATTTATTCAGTTTATTATATTAATTAATCTAATTTGTATAATGCATCTTATCCTGGTCTCTAATTTTCAGCCAAAGAGACTATGTTTTTACTTAAAATGAGAAGTTATTGTGTAGAACTGTCAATGAAACTATTAAAATTTTATAATTTAGTTTAATCTATGAATTACATGTCATTGAAATATTAAATTACTTTCTCAAAGATTAAAACTACTCCTTAAGACATTTTAGCCAATTCAATTTAATAGAGCTAACCTATTTAATCTTTTAAATAATCATTAGTAGTATTTTAGACTAATTATGTACACTTATAAAATAAAATAAAAAATTTACTTCAATTTATGTTATTTATTAATTTACTAACAATTTTAAATGAGTACCTATTTTCTCATCTATCAATTATTCAAAATAGGCTTAATTGAAATTATCCATAAGAAAGTTCTCACATGTTTATTGATATAATTCTAGATTTTAGGAAACAACATTTTCCATCTAAGTTTCTAATTAACAAAGATCCTATTTAAATTATAATTCTAATTTAGGTAATGCTTATTAATCATTTTGTCCTTATTTATCAAATTCCTTCTTTACTTATGCTTCAATTAAATCTTTAATATCTAAAATGAATGTAATATCTTCTATTAAATCTTTTTTGACATCATTACTTAGAATTAGGAATTATTATTATTGTTAACATTATTAAACTTTTGGAATCAACTCATTTTCAACAATCTCATTTGCTTTGATTACTGGATCAATTTAACTGTAACTATTATAATTTTAATTATTGTTATTGCTCTTATTTTCCCACTGTTATTATTGTTATAATTATAATATATCCTCTTCTTTGATATAAGGAGGTGGAATTAAATGAGATTATTAGATTATACTTGAACCTTTTTTTTTAGAAGTATTTTTATCATAAAGTTAAAGTAAATTTTCAGGTAAAATTACACAAAGTCCAAGATCGCTATAAAACCAACAAAATTCTATTTTATCTCTCTTCTCAGATTAAAAACCAAATATATATGGTAATTCATGATCTGTTAATTCCAATTCTTGATTTTAGAAATCTCTAAATCCTTATTGAAATTCTATATATTCTTCTTCGGATTTGCATTTATTTTCACCATGTAAAAACCTTGTTGTTTATTCAGGAGGTAATATAAACTAAATAAAAAATGTAGAACTTGATCTTTCCTTTACAAACATTTTTATATGTTTAATTTTACTCTATTCATTTTTTTCAATCTAAAATGTATGATAATTAACTTAATTACTTCCGATTAAATTAGCTTGGCTATATAAATTTATACATTCATATCTTAAGTTTGATAAACAATAAAGAGAAAGTTTTATGTAGAATCTATTTAGAAATCAATTAATTCTACTTGTTACTTGCTTCATATACTATTAAATATTAATTACCTCTCATTAAATTTAAATTTAATCGATTCACTTGCCAAAAGACTTGCTGTATGTAAATCTTCTTAATCAAAAGTCCAAAATATTATTCTTTTTTAAGATGTAATCGTAAAAAGAGCTATTTTATTATGATGTTCAAATAATTAAAACTTTAATGGTTCAAATTATGTATATTTCAGATTATGTTCATTTATGAGTTAGAACGATTTTGAATTGAGAACATATAATTTTGAATCTTTTGTTAGAATGAAAATATATTTCAAACATTTTGTTATAATCACTTATTTTGCAACCTATTTCATTTATTATTTAATAAATGTATTATCTAATTGGATAAGATAAATATTTGTATTATCGACTAAAATAGCTCCAATTTATTATGAACAATATAATTTAGGTTATTATAATCCTTCTATTTTGAGCTCATTAGATAGTGTAAATTAATATTAGTAATCAATTTTGTAAAATTGTATTTACTCTTTATTTTGGATTATTATTAAATAATATGAATGTGCAAAATATGCAAGAACGAAATCTGTGATTTCTTTTTCTGTATTCAGAAAATATTTTTCTTAGCTATCAATACACGAGACTAAGTAAAGAGATTATGAAGTTTTTTTGCAAGCAAAAAGATAATCCAAACTTTTTATTTCTAATTCATGATAATTTTCAACATCAGTGACATCAACAGTTTCTTAATCTAATATAGTGTTTTAATTAGAAGTGCAAATATATCTATGATTAATTCAGATTTTACTTGTAATGGTTGATGCTTGAAGACATATAAATTTAATAATTGAATAATAATTAATATATACATCTAGTATTTTGTATAACTTTGCAAATTATATTAAATTGAATTATTACAATTTCACAATATAATCAACTTAACTAGATTCAAATGTTAAAGAGAATCATTGAAATGTCTATAAAATATTAAATTTCAAGAGCAATATTTAAATAAAGATTATTATAGTTGTAATTCATAAATTTTAGTAATCAAATTAAAAATTTCTCTATTACTTAACTTTAAATCAATAGCATTTCCATTATTTCAAATTGATTCTTTTACGCTACTAAATATTCTGAACTACTGATTTTTTTGTTGGAATTATTTTAATGCATATTCTATTTTAATATTTAATTTTATAATTAGTTTTATGATGATAAGTATTCTTAACCAGCATCAAATAATAAATTTTCTGAAAAATTAGCAATTGCATTCAATTTAGCATTAAGAGTGTTCTTAGAGTATTACAAATCTTTTTAAAATTAAATTAAATCGTTAGAAACAGATTCTGGTTTCAGATTATCAATTTTATCAACAAGACTTTTGTATTATTTTCCAAAGTAAAGTGCATCATTTAATAGATGATTCTAAAATTTAACAACTTTAATACATTAATGTCTTAATTTTCAATTAATTCTTTTCTAAGATGATTAATTTCTTTTTCTTTTACTTATTAAATTTAATTACATTAAGTTTAATAATAAGCAAATGTCTCTTGTTAGTAATTATTGAATTGTTATTTACACATTTCGAGTTCATGCTTATTTATTTAAGTATTGTATACTTCTAATTGTTATTAATTTGATTTCAATTGAATATTTTAATTCTCAATTTCATTAAATAGAGAATTAAATTTTTCTTTTTCTTCTTTATGAATAAGATCACTAGATTTTAGCACTTCCAAAGATGATGATAACTTTTCAATCTAATGAATAAATAAATAGTAAAATTTACTTCTTCCTATTTTATCTATAATTCTTATTTGATTGATATAATTTAAGCATTTAAATCTTAAATCTAGACTTACTATTGTTAATTAGTATTTTATATTTTAGTAATTTATTCGTTTAATTAGGTTATTATTTATTTTTTTTATTCTAATTCATCTATCTAAAACTTAATAATTTTTTAAGAACCAGATACATTATTTTGTTATTTCATTTGAGATGACTTAAATTTATCACTATTTATATTAGATTCTTTATTGCTCTTATTCTAGGAAATAGGTGTTTTACAATTCTCAAAGTTACAGCTATTAAATCGTTAATGATGAGATTTATTAATAGATTTTTAAGTACAATTAGGATCAGGTTTGAATTTATTTTGAATTTTTGCTACTTGTTTATTTAGCATATCTATTTTTGAACAAGTAAATTATTTTGATTTAACTTCTTCTATGATTTCATAAACTATACTAACGATATCTTTAACCATAGATTAGAATTAACTTGTTTAATCATTACTAATTTCTTATTTTTCAACAGTAGGTCGTTAATTTAGTTCTTGTATTAAGAGAAAGATCATATATTTTAGTTAAATTAGATCTGTGCTTCTATAAAAGTCATAACATGTTTATGCATTATCTAAACAGAAAAGCTTCATTTTTGCAATTATAGCTGCACATGTATTATGATCATTCTCTTTTGCATATTTCAATAATTTGATCTTCTTCTCAATTTATAATAAGACAGGTTATGTTTATTATGAAATGGTTGAAATTTAAGAATATTTTTAGAGATGGATGTCAAATACATTCTCATTTTAAGTAAAAGAAGAACAGGAAGCTTTTTCATTTGGTTTCATCAATCGCTCTGTCATTTATTCAACTTCATGTTACTTAATCTACAAATAAGGAATAGGTGATGATTTCTCTAGTAATTAATTTATTTCTCGACAGGCAAATGGTCTCGGTTATAGAGGAGAGACTGAGTGTTCACTTGTTTTCTTCTTCCCGGAGTATAGGTTTTAAAGTTTTTGTAGCAGCTAACTGCTTGATGCTGAGTTCATTTATAATTAACAGATATTTTTACTAGGTTTAGTAAACTCTTTAAATTTTATAAAATATCAAAACAATTCTTTTTTGAAAACTTCTCAAACCTCTATTTCAATCATCTTCTATTCATTTCTATGATTCATATCTGTAATAACTTTCAAACACTCAATATTTTATATACACACCAGAATTTTAAGTAAAATATTTATTTATAGCATTTATTCCAATCATAATATTTTTATTCATAATCAAGCTCTCTATATATACTTTTATTTATTCATTTCTAAAATTTGTTACCATCAATCTTTATAAATATATTATCACTTTATAAATCAACTTCATAGTATTTATTAAGAAGTAAAAATACAAAGCTATAACTATCTAATCATTCCTATTCTCATCAGTTATTCTTAACTCATACATATTTTCTTCTTTTTATTCACATTTACATAATTATCATTTGTATAATATTTTATTTACTTTTTTTTTAATTTAATGAAAAAAGAGGAAATAATATAACAATAAGAGTCTAAAGCATTTGATGAAATTTATGATATGGATTTCTAATCTTAAGACTTAATCTATTATTTCATTAAAGTAATTTTTATATCTATACTACTTATTATCAACAATGATTTATATTTAGGATGTTTAAAATATTAATTGTCATTTTCTCTTTTACTATCGAGATATTGATTGCTAATTATTTTTTAATTATTCTTTGATTATCATTTTTAATTATTTAAGTTAATTTTATATGGTTAATTTAAAGGGTTTGCAAGATAACTTATTTAGAGGTAAGTTCTAATTTAAAGAAATTCTTAATTATTATTCAAAATTAAAGAAGGAACATATTTAAAATGAGTTTATAATAATTGTTTCTTCAGTATTATAATTAGTAGGTTCAATTTAAATATTCTAAACCGGTTACTATTTATAATTATAGATATTTAAGATATAAAAATTGTTAAAAATAAATAATAGTTTTATATCAAACAGATTTTATTCATAGATTTTATTTTATTTACATAAAATATAAAACACCACTAATAACATCAATACTCAATCTAATTTCATTCTTAGGCTTATGTTTCTTCATTTAATTACTCTGATTATTGTTACTCTTCTCCATCTTTTCTTTATTCATTTAAACAATTTTGGTAAGTTTAAATTGTTTTTTGATATTAAGACTTAAGAATTGTAAAGAGATTTAATTATTTGAAAGCTGTAAATAAAAGAGCTTAGAATTCTTCAAACTTTAAAGCATCTATGAAATCTTTAAGTATAGTTAATTATTCTATTATGTATTGGAATAATTCTTTGTTATTTAATTTTTCTCTGAGTAAAGTAAGTTTAGACTTAAGTTCATTCAAACTTGTTGTATATAGATTTGAAATAGGTTAGTAGACAATAACTTTGTAAGTAAAAAGAGTAGCATTCAAATGTTATTTAAAGTTGAGAATAACAAAGACCTTAAATTGTTGAACCTTTTATCCTCCAACAGTTTGAATTTCATTCTTCAATAGAGTAAAGAGTCCTTAAGTTAATTCTGTAAGATTATGAGCTAATTGAACAGCCCTTTGATTATATGTTTACTCTGAATTAGTGGCCTTTGCTTCTTTCAATATAGCCTTTTACAATCTGGCTACATTGCCTTCAATAGAAGTAAAGACTTTATTAGCTACATTGTCACAAGTTTGTAACACAAATTAAGTAGCGCCATTGTTCTTGGCCAAATCAACTCCTTAATCTAGAGCCTTCTTTGAATTCTCTCTTAGTTAATCAGTAAGTTCTTTCCCTTTTTACTTAAGTTTCTATCCTTGTTATGCTATATTGAAAGTCTTTTCATATGATTGAACTATCTAAACACTTCTATTTATGTTATCATCTACAGTGTTTGTCACTTTTTCAACGTAGGGCTGACTTATACTATCTGCATAAACAATGATGTTCTCCACAAATTTAGGTGCTCTATTTATTTTATGTTTTAACTTTACTTTAATGGAAGTTTTTAGTAATTTGTGGTGATTAAGGACTTAGTTCTAGATAAGATGTTTCCAATGTATTTCTATTATTCTGACATGAAATTTAAATTAATGATTGACTTATTCAGGAAGAGAAATCAACTTAAGAACTCATTTGATTATGATGTAAAATCACTATTTAATACGCATTTGACTTTAAATAATTTCTGATTTACTGTTTGCAATGTAAAATTATTTATTTTAATGACGATATAATATATTGAAAACCTTATATTAATTATTACGACATTTTTGTGCTCTTGCACATTAATTCGAACGTCTTATCATTCTAGCCCAAATTTTAGACCTTCAAAATTATTCATAATGTTTCTTTTCAAAATTGAATACCCAATTTTTATTACTCTTACATTTATATTCAAAAACAACTAATAAAAATAAATCTTTTTGTTTAAATTGTTATTTCTAAAAATATATAATATATATATTATCAATCACACTCATAATTATATCTCACTTTTATTTCTTATTTTTAAATATAATTTTTCTCACATCAACAAGTACGTTTTTATCTTTAAAATTTAATTCATTGTTTTATCAAACTCCAATCTTTTATATTGGATATCCAATTTAAAGAGTTTTTATAATTAGATCAAAGATTTCTCTTTAAATTATAATTCAATATTATATTTGAATTTAATCAGTAAATATTTGTTACTATTTGTTTAACTTTCTATACAATCCCTATTATTATGCACATTAACTATTTTCAGGACTTTCCTAAATAAACTACAATTTCAATAAATTCTGTTTCTAATTTATAATCTCAAGGTTCTCTGGGATTCATCTTATATGTGTTATTACTAAAATATTAAATTCTTTCATACTCTTGATCGTACTTTAAATAAATTAAATAATCATTAAAAATACATCTCAAAATCTATTAACCAATATGTAAGTTATTTATATACAATTCCCCATAAATATTGCTACAACAATTCTAAAATAATATTGTTTTATCTTAAATTTGATCAATATTCAAATTTTAATCATCAATTATCATTAAAAAATTTGAAAATTCTTTACAATAGCAATTTTTGCCGATATCAAATAAT